ATTTAGCGCACCCATGAGTGGTACGATGGTCCAGTTCATTAAATCCGTGTACGCTTTTTTAGTGCGACTATGTATAGCATCCTTAATGTTTGCTCAAGCGGGAGTAGACGACTTTTTGCTGTGACGCGAATAAAGATGGCGTCACTACTTTCTAGACTGAGTCTCTAATCCTAACAGCATCCTGGAAACGTTTGCGTCTAAGCCCGATGCGCCGGTGCTTCGTCATTTCGTCCATGTTCTAGTGAGGTGATGAGATAATCGACGGCGCGTCGAGCGAAATGTGTGTTTTTATGTGTGTCTCTGCATTTACTAACAATAATCATAAGTTTAAAAATGCCTGTATTTACTAACAAGTGGGCCTTAGACGCCAGATAAATGATTTATATATTATTAATTATTAAGTAAAAGAAGACGTTAAGGGCTTTATTATTCTATTGTAATAGAAAGGATAAACCGTTCCAAGAGATAACATTCATTAGTGCAAATAATATTTTTTCAATTACACGTACACATAAAAAACATTCTGACCGACTTAATTCGACTCTGTGTCGGTAAGTGTGGTCGAGTCCTTAAAAGCATCACTGGCGCATGCGTCGATAGTGCGTAGTACAGGCGCGTACTAGGTACAAAAATAATAATACTATAATTTAACTGACTCCGTGTCCGAACAGCTACCATACTGGACTGCCACGCAGAGGTCCGAGGTTCGATTCCGGGCCGGGAGAAATATTTGTACTACATTTACTTCTCTCGTGAGTTTGGGTGTAATTTGTGGGTGTCTATGGGTGTGTCCTTAGCGCCCGTGATATACGGTTTCCATATTCCGGGGCTATGAGTGTGTGCGCGTTAAAAAAAAGTCTCTCCAAAATCTCACAAAAGCACCGGTGAAAATGTTAAGAAGAAAATTGTTTGCAATAATAACCGGTAACCATTTTGGAAATAGCCTATTTTTTACTCTCATTTTATGTCACGGTTTTTTTGCTTAAAATAAGTTCATTTAAAAAACACATCAATTTTTTTTTAAATATATAATATTTTTCATTTCGTTGTGTTAATGCAGTTATCATTGGTATTTACGTTTTTTATCGTTTCAAACGTTACAAATCCGTTTTGGATTTTTTTCTCAATTTACAATCATTATAAAAAAACTCTGTTATAGCGAACTGTATCTCACAACTGTTTTGATGGCACCAGAATAAAATAAATATTCTAAGTAAACCAGTTCCAAAGGGAATCATAGGAACTTCCTTGGAAGCAAATAAGTCGAACGCTCGTTGATTCTTTTGGTAAAAAACCATAATGTGAGAAAAAATCAGCATGACAAGAGAATAAAAAACCATGCCGCTCGGTATATTTTCAAGGTTTTTCATAGTAAAAACCATATTGTCAGAAATAATCAGCATGATAAATGAAAAAAAAAACCATGCTGCTCGGAGTATTTTCTAGGTTTTTTTTTGGTAAAACCGTAGCGTTACAAATAATCCAAATCAAATAAAAAAAACCCGGCCGCTCGGCATATTTGCTACTAAGTGTTGCCATTTGAATAAAGATTCTAAGTTTTTTTGTAAATATTTATAAGACTATCAACTATCACGCACTAAGTTCTTGCAAAATTAAAATTCTCTTCTCGGCTCGAAAATAAATTTTATACAGAAAAAAATAATTTATTACTTTGTATACATACGTAGCTCTCGCGAGCCACGAGTAGAACTAGGGATGAAACAATACGAGTAAATACAAGTACTTACTCGATATCTTCCTTCCGATACCAAGTACTTTTGGTATCGATACTTTTTAATCAAGTATTAAGTAGGTATCGGTCAAAAGTACTCGTATCGTATACTCGATACTTTCCTTCCGATCAAAACCAAGTATAAAGTAGGTCTCGGTCAAATCAATGAAAGTACTCGGTATGTCAAAGTTACGCGGTGGAAGCGGTCTTTTTTTGGCGGTCCGTGTTGAAGCCAATGACAAGAAATTAATTTAGTTCTATCAGTATGTATACAAGTAATAGATACGAGTAAGTGTCGATACTTTTCAATCGATACCGAGTAAATATCGATACTTCATGACCGATACTGTATCGAGTAAAAGTATCGATACTGCAGTGGACCGTTTCATCCCTAAGTAGAACTCGAATTCACCGAGTTGGGCACGATCGGCCAGCTGACCGTGACTCGAGCGTGCTCTGATGGTCGCCGACCCGACAGAGTGAGAACGACTAGTGGAGGCGCTGTGAGTTAGCTCGAGTTCATGAAAAAGTATCTCAAGTCGACTTGTTATGAGAGTAACTCGAGTTAAATAACTCGACTCGCCCATCTCTACACCGGTAGTGTTAAAGTTTAAATTAGGCCACATTATACACCAAAGTGGAGAGGAGATGTTATGGATAACGGAATCCTATTGGTTGTTAAAAAATAGTAGTTTATGTGACTGGTATCTAATGAAAGGCATTAAAAAACGATGTGGATGTGGGTTTATGGCACGGGCCGACAGGCGAGTTTCATAAAAACATCACAGGAGTGATTTAATGCCTAACTATGTACAGTTACATATACTGCTTTATCTATACATAAGCTCTCTATGATGTGTTCAGGAACCGCATGTTACAATCGGCATTGCGGCATGGAGTAGTAATTATTAGTAAAATAATACAATAAACTTATTTCCCACGCATGTCATGCAACCGCAGTTTCTTTTTTAATTTATAGACAAATTAGAGTCGGCCCCAACTATCACATCGTTCGATATCAAGTAACCTGTGAGAATTGTCAAAATTGTTTACTATTGACATTTCATTTCAAACAAAACTTCACCTCGACTTAGAGGACGGAAAAAATAAATGAAAGGAGCTGCCCCTATCAATGGAATAAACGTGGCTACTAAACCAAAATTGTGTACCACAAATGGCGGATTTCTTTAGTGTGTAAATAAGTGTAATCACATGAGATATTTGGCCTATTGTATAATTTATAGATAGAAAAATAACACAATGTAACTTTCGGTTGATTTTCGCTTTTTCAAATGTCGCATCCCTTAATGCTGCAGCTACACATTTTTATCAATAGCTAATTGTTCTCACTGTCAATAATTTTATCTATTTAATTGCAATTCACGCGATTAATTCAATAAAACATTTGGCGAAACATTGGTTTTGATATTTGATGTACTTCCCTTTGACAACCGTCTCAGCACTCCAAAAATGGCGAAATGCACTCAGTTGGCATTTAAGATGACGTTACGTATTTTCTATTCTCGTGGCATATACCAATGTAATGCTATCTCTTTTGGGTTACGACGGCACGCAGTAGTTAAACAAAGACAATAACATGTTTATGTTTTCAACGTCGAATTGCATCAAATACATTTTGATTTATATATGTCAATATAACATGTCCTTTGGTTTCCATAGTCTAAGATCTCGATTGCTAATAGAATTGAGGTCGAATCAAATTGTTTTGTTTTTCAGAGATGTTCAAATTTTGAACGTAATAATAAAATCGAATTTGATGTTCAATAACGCGCCCTGTACCCCACCTCCGGTGGGGTCTGGGCCTGCGGCGCGTGGTCAGCATCAGATTTCGGAGTGTGCTTATGCTCTTCGGTTGAACAACGATTAGTCCTGTGGGCGTTTGATGAGGAGGTTCCAGATGTGATTCCCAATTTGAGCCAATTTATGAAACAAACATTTTTAAGTTGGTTCTGATCAGGGTATTCTGGGTGTTGCCCTTAGAGTTATCGTTACTCTGGTACTCATAGTACACGAAATTCCCTAGTTTGAGACCAGAAATTTGGTGTGATTGTTTGGCATTTTTTTCCCTAAATACTTCTCTTTGGCATAGCTTCCAAGAAAAAAGAATCGAACAGAGAGACGATCGAGATACAACAATGCTATAAGTATCTCATTTCCTCTACATCGGGAAGTAGGTATGCCTTACATTTTGAACAATTGTGAGATCTTGTGCTCGTAATAGCGCCTCCGTATACTACCTACGTACGGTGGCGTGCCGACGCTTCGGGCTTCGCCCTCCGCTAGACTTTGGCCTGCCGCCTCGGCATTTATAATTTTGTTTCAAAAAATTAACGTAACTAAATAAAGTAAATTTTAAAAAGTAGTAAATTTTGACTGTAAATTATTATTAAACACCCATAGAGAATCCCTCATGCCGATTTTCGGAGGAATTAAATTATTCTCCGGCACTTCTAGAGGCTTTCACATGACAATTTTCAGCAGAAATTGATCTAGTGTTTTGTGATCAAGTTTTAACAAAAATAACGCTTATATGGCAGCCATATTAAAAAATGGCGAAGAAAAACTTTTGACTCCAAATTATGATTATGGACTCCCTAAAGACCCCCGCATGTCAATTTTCAGCCGGACCGAAGCAAGTTTTTCTTCAGCCGCCATTTTGAATTCGCCATCTTGAATTAATTTTGACACAGGCAGTTGAGCACTGTTACCCTCTATAACATTCCTTCTAGCACATCCTACCTATTTCTAACAGTTTCCGTGACAGAAGGCTTCGAAATTTTTATGGCCGCCATCTTGTTTATTTAAATTTCGAACATTTTTTACTTCCCGCGGAAATTTACCAGGGTGTACCTCATAAAAGTGCACAAATATCCCCCATGTACTATAGTTTTTGCAGGCCGTTGATCACTAGTTTACATTTTCCACATTCAGGTCTTCTCATATTTGATTCATATCGGGAAGTATGCGTCCTATTTCTGTCAGTGAGTAAGAACTTGTAGCTTTATATATACTATAATAACATAGGAATGAAACTATTTTTCCGGATTTAAATCGCGTATATTTGTTTTTTCAAACAAACCGACGTTTCGGGCCCTTTACAGGTCCCATGGTCACGGTTGACGGCGATTTAAATCCGGAAAAATAGTTTCATTCCTATGTGTAACAATCGCGAAAACCTAAGAACTCGATACTATAATAACATTTTCACAGATAACAAATTTGTTCTAACAAAAACAGTTCATTCTTTAGGCTGATTGTAATTTGCGGTTTTTGAACACACCATACAGGATTTATGATATGTACGTACGTAATGTATGTACGATCTTGTCCTTTTATGCGTGGATAATAAATAAGATTTGAGACAACCACTATAACTTAACGTCAACTGCAGACATAATGAGTTCTATATTTACAAATTAATTTACAAATGTTTACATTTATTACTAGATACGGGTAGTAGCTTTCGATGGTCAGGTGAAGAGATACTACCCCTAGGTTTTTTTACACTTACGTTCCTACACGACGCGGTCACTCCATAGGAAACTCCAGAGAACGTTGTTGTATTTCTATTGGATTGTGTGAATATATTTTTTGGCGGAAAATCTGCATTTTGTGACGAAACTGTATTTCCATATATATTTTTAGATGATCCCGTGTAGGAAGAGGAAGATGACCGATTAGTTAGTGTATTTGAATCTGTGGTATTACTTGCTTGTTTAGGATCCGTTGGTATATATTTTAATTTGTGTGGTTTTATATCTACGTGTATTGTTTCTGAGACCGTTAATTTGTGTTTTCTCTTCGAGTTCAGCGTGTGAAAGACGAGGCGTACTGGTTTTTCGATGGCGCCTGCAAATGAAGAATTTTAGTCGACTAACAAAGTACTAAAAAAGAGGTCGCTACCTCAAAAATCATTTATCCCCTAGTGGAATTTTTTCTTCAAGTTTAAATGGGACCACTACCGAGGTTTATTCTTTGTAACAAAAAAAGAATCATCAAAACCTGTTCACAAATCAGAGTTATCGCGTAACATGCATACAAAAAAAACATACTACAGTCGAATTGAGAACCTCCTCTTTATTTAAAGTCGGTTAACTAAATTGCAAATGATAATAAAAAAAAGTAATTTACTTGCTACTCCTCGAATTTTTTATTCACCAATTTTGTAGGAGGTTGGTAATGGGAGGTTCGGGGTATCTTATCTTATCGAATGTCATACGGCATTTTGCTTTGGGGTAATGCCGCCGATATTAATAGAATCTTTGTCCTGCCGAAATGTGCGCTTAGGGAAATTTACCATCTGCAGCTTAATTTTGATTGCGCCTCCCGATCGGAAACTGCGTCTCTTCCGAGTCGACGCGCATAATTGCGATTCACCACTAGCCGATCCGAAATTTTGACATTTCTAATCGAAACAATAGTTGATTTAACTCACAAATTAGAAAGATATAGTAGGAATCAAGTTCATCTTCTCGCTCGGAAACCCATCTTATTTCGAGACTACCCGATGAGTTCGATTCCTATGTAATCAAAATCAGCAAGCTGGGCCCCAGAGAGTCTTGGAGAGATAAGTTTAAAGAGATTAATATTCTACGTCTACGAAAATGTAATTTAGGTTAACAATCATTGACTTACAATTACATGGACGTCGGGTCCGCGCTAAAAAGTGTCCGAACTTATAGGGCATTAAAATCGTATACAGAGCGTCATTCACGCTCTAGTCTTCGTTTGTTCGACTGACAGCGAAGCAAGCAAAATTAGACAGTACTGCGATGACATTACAATTTAAATTCAACGTTTTAGCTTTTTCATATTCCTTTACATGTCACTACGTTTAAATAGGTTGACTTGGGACATTTTTTTCGTGGTTTTTGTATTAGACCCGTCGTCCATTTATTTGTAAGTCAATGTTAACAATAATAATATTTCTTTTTTATGAAAAATAATGACAGACATTACGTTAATACGAGGAATAAAAATAAACTAGCTGTTCTTGACAGTCGTCTTAACAAAGTGACAAATTCATTTGTATACGCTTCTATAACAAAATTCTTGAGGGTATTCTACCTTTGGTTTGTGTATCAGAAAGGTCCTTGAGAAAGAGTTCGTCCAAGGAAGTATTGTCACCTTACCTGTTTCAGTCGCCAGGGAGCATTACTGCGTTCCGGTTTCGAAGGGTGCTGGTGAAATTACTTAAATTAATTAAAACATTGTCATATTCGTACCGTAACCAGTAGACTTTCGTTCTGAAGTACGCCGACAATCCGAGAAGCGCGTAACGGCTGAAATTATGATAGAACACAATACAGTCCGATTAGTATTACTTTCGAATCCGTATATCAACTGTGAACTGGCAAACGGTACTATCTTAAGAGGGAGCTGAGGAAAAATTCCTAATCTTCGATTTGATTTTAGAGGGGTATATCCACTTTAAAGTTAAAAATAAAATATTGTATGAGTAACTACACGATATATTCAAGCATAGACATTAATCAGAAACATAAAACAATAAAGTTTCCTCGATAGATAAAAATCACGAAATGACCTCTAATTTTCACATTTTTTCGATTTATCCTCGAAATGCTACAGCTTATTAGGACAAAAATTAGATAATTAATTATATTTATGCATGATCGACAACTGTCACTACGGCCTTTTTTTTATTCCCTTTAGTTTTAGAGTTATTCCGCTAAAACAAATTTGGTACTTTTAATGCGCAAAATTTAACATCTCCTGTCGCATGTCACGCGAACTTCAGGTATATATTTGTTTCACAAATTTGGGCGGAGTCAACGTAAAAACTTTTTTGGCATGAGAGCTCTTAATTTTCTCTTTAATATAATTTTATACTATTTCATACGTAGCGTTGCAACAAAGTCCATTGTTTTTTATAAGAAATTTGTTCTAACAAAACAGTTTACCTTTAAGCTGGTCGTAATTTGCGGTTTTTGAACACATTACAAAGGGTTTATGATATGTGTCTAGAAAAAATATTTAATAACTACATATTTTTATTTTATAAACCAGATGCTATTTATAAGACGCAAACAAGTTTTTTTCTTCACCTGTAAAGTTGTCACGCTTGAAATAGTACCGGTTGCCAGTTCACAGTCGATATGCGGAATAGGTACGGAACTAAAGCCGAGCGTACTATAGGCTGTTTGAGTTTATTCACTCGAAAATAATTAAAAAATCAGATACTTTTTACTCCCTAGGGATTATAGGATGCGCTTTACTCCCTCTACGTAAGAGCGCGCTCCCATTAACTCGTAACATATTATTTATCGTTCGACGATTGTCGTGTCTAGCTGTTCCCACTAGAGCGTGACGACAATTTATCGGTTCACGTCGTTTGCAAGATAGAATCGTTTGAAGTTGCGATTATCTGTCGTCACATTAAAATTGTGACTGTTGTTCTAGCTCTTCCCATTATCACGACAGTCTGTCGTGAACGACAGTTAATCGTGTTGTACTATATGTGAACAATTTCATTTAAATATACAAGTCACGACACTATCTGTTGTCACTACATAAGACATAATGGGAACGCGCCCTTAGTACGTCATTATAGTACTTTTAGAGCATGAGAAGTGAAAAAGTTCTTGGTTATGATGTTAGTAATATATAGCCTTGCGAGGTTGTTGTAATTTACAAATAACTCTGTGGAGACGAAGTTGGAAAACGTACGTGTTTTTGGTTTGGTTCTGGGATATAAGCGATTTGGCGACAGAGGCTGCAAAGCACTGTGCTGCTTTTCTCTAGTCCGAGGACACACTGTGTGGACTGCTGTTAGTCCAGCTTGGTTCTCTTGCCTGAAAACGTAATGTTTTATGAGAAATTGTTAACATTTTACTTTTTTTCTCATATGACTTACGCTAGATTCACAGACCTACCGCTTAGCAGAGTCGTTTCCTGAGGTAACTGCGGGGTGCGGGGAGCGAAAGTTTGCGTAATAGTTATGTCGCGCTGCACACGGCATTATTTGAACAAAATTTATCTGACGATAGAAAAAAATCCTTCGACCCGGCCAGACTCGAACCGATCTTTGTATTTTTAATTGTAACAAATTAGTCTAGTAATTTCACAAAAAATGATTGAATATCAATTCAATACACATTTAAAAAAAGCTATTTCATCGATAATTGGAAAGAAATTGGAAGAGCTCTTTTTTCTACCAAATCTCAAATTCAAGTTTCAACTGCTTCTGTGGCCGAACGGTTACCTTGCTTGACTGCCACACAAAGGTCCCGCGATCGATTCCCTGGCCAAGAGAAATATTTATATGGCCTACATTCATTTCTCTCGTGAGTTTGAGCGTAATTTGTGGTCGTCTATTTGTGTGTCCATGGCACCTGTGATACAGAGTTTTCCTAGAGCGGGGCTATGAGTGTGTGCGCGTTATTCAATCAAATTGTTATTGAATATCGTCAGAAAAATCTTGTTGAAATAATCCCGTGTGCAGCGCGACATAACTGTTATGTACACTGTAACACCTCCCGCACCGCGCAGCTACCTCAGGAGACGACTCAGTTAAATGGTTGGCCTGTAGCACAATAGTATAACAAGACAAGTATGATATGATTGCTAGATGGCAGCACATTGATTGAATTTTCAATATAAAATCAAAACTTCCTAACTTATCCAACTTAAGCATAATAAGTAATTGATGGTATTGAGCTTTTAACGATATGCCAACAGTTTAAATTAATTAACGGCCCAGAAGTTGTTATTTCTCTTTAAATTAAAAGCTATGACCAACTATTATTAAGATTTCAGTGTTTCTGTTCCATTTCTTTTTCTTCAATGGCGGTTGGGCGAGCACACATACAAGACCCGTTGCTACGTTTGTGTGGATTACTATATTTGCACAGTCGGGACGAATAAGTCGTTCCCTGGTGGTAAGCGATACGCCTGTCCTTAGCACCTGCAGTGCCACTCAGGCTTTAAATCACAAAGATCTGAGGGGCACTGCGACTGCGCCCGTCACCCTGAGACATAAGTTGACAAGTTCCATGTACCTGTAACTTCACAAGCACTTTTACCCACCAAAATCAGAACGTAGTAATGTAAATATGATCATATTACTGCTTGGCGGCAGAAACAGATAAGGTGGCAGTACTTCCCTGGACGAGCTCTTTCACAAGGAGGTCAACTGTTACTAATTTATGATGATAAAGATAGAACTCACTTATGGCCCAGCAGTGCTATCGGTGATTTTCACTTCCAGTCTGTTCAAAAAAAGGAACCGGGTAAATTTTTAATCAGAATAAAACGCAACAAAAATTTTTATAAAAAAAAGATTACGTGCGTAAAATATTTGTAAGATGGCTCTACACTACTCGGAAGGAGCCAAAAAAAAAAATGAAAAAGATTTAATAAAAATGGCTGATCAAAAATATACCCAGTTTTAAAATTAAAAATGCAATTACCTTTTTCTATTTAAATTTCTCCCAAAACTACCGTACTTCAGATGGTTATTAAGAGTGTCACTGGAAAAGTAAAGATAAAACCGTAAAGGTTAAGTTATTATTATTAATATTATTAATAATAATTTAATATTTTTATATTATAATTTCTTTTTTTTCTTGTTTTGTTGTGCACATATGCCCGTTCTTTTAGTTATAGTGTCCTGTATTTAGGTCTGCAGGAAGAAATTTCTATTAGAAATAAGCAGAACCTTTTGTTTTTAATTTCGCTTGTATTCTTTGTGACTTGTTGTATTTTTTCTGTACAATAAACTATTAAATAAATAATAAAATAAATAATATTGTTGTAAAACTAACAAAACGTTGAATGGTTTGCGTGCCACGGAACGTTAGCAAATAAAGCCGAGTACTCATTAGCGACCAGGACCCCGATTCAGAACTTTTCGATAATTTAATCGAATCATTCGATTGGAAATGGTTCTCGAATTGAAAGGCGCTTTCCGAGCTATTCAGGAGTTAAACTTTCGGTATGGATTCGGATACGATATCGTTAGCCAACAGCGTTTACGGAGTTAGTCGGTGAAGTAGATTATAAGAAAAATTAAAATCCTTTTATATAAATTTTTAACATATTAGACGGTTAAAATATATATATAAAATTGAACAAAATCAGGACTTTATTTGAAATTGGTTGTCTACATCACCATGGATGTAACTCGTGAAAATTTTCGTAGTATGAAATTTCTACGACTTTAAGTGTAATTTAAAAGCTGAGCAAAAAGAAGCACCATGCAAGACGACTATTTATAGCTGATTTGCAGAATTCAAACGCGGTTGTGTGTATCTCAGAGGAGAATTTCGTTTAGGTCGCTCGTCCATTGCTGTGAACAACAAAAACATCGAAGCTGTGCGCCGTATGATCAAAACAGACATGTGACATACATGAGATTCGGGCATCTTTAGGCATAGGCATGAGTCAAATACAATCAATACAATACAAAAATTTGGGTGTGAAAAAGCTGTGCTCTCGGTGAATTCCACACAATTTGAATGAGGCTCAAAAAACGGATCGCGTCACTTGATGCAACGCCATGTTTACCAGATTCAATGAAGGGGCGTCAAATTTGGTGTGGGACATCGTAACAGATGACGAAACATGGGTTTCCAAAGCAGCAATCGAGCATATGGATCTTGCGAGATGAGTCGAAACCAACTAAAGTGGCGCGCGTGCAAAGTTCCTCTAAGTGGACGATTGCTTCTTTTTTTAATAAAAATGGACTCGTGGCTACTGTTGCTTTGGAGAATCATTATACCGTGAACAGTGGTTGGTACACGATCATTTGTCTGCCGGAAGTTATTGACAAACTCCGTAAAAATAACTGTAAACGCCGTATCATCTTGCACCACGATAATGCCAGTTCTTACACGGCCAGACAGACAAATGAATTTTTGAAGGTGAACAACGTTGACCTAATGAGCCATCCCGCGTACAGTCCCGACCACCTGCACCTGGCACCTTGTGACTTTTACTTATTTTCAAAAATTAAGAACCAGTTACGCGGTCAACGGTTTTCATCACCTGAAGTGGCAGCCGAAGGGTATGAAAAATATGTTTCAGAGATTGTCACGGAGGAGTGGCGTAAGTATTTTTAAAATTGGTTCATTCGTATGAAAAAGTGCATTAACGCTACCGGAGAATATTTTGAGATATGCATGTGAGTACCCGGCACCCTTACCTCAGCTCAAATTAAAACTTTTCCCGTACTAACCATTGACTTACAAATAAATGGACGACGGGTCTAATACAAAAAACAAGAAAAAATGTCCCAAGTCAACCTATTTAAACGTAGTGACATGTAAAGGAATATGAAAAAGCTAAAACGTTGAATTTAAATTGTAATGTCATCGCAGCACTGTCTAATTTGCTTGCTTCGCTGTCAGTCGAACAAACGAAGACTAAAGCGTGAATGACGCTCTGCATACGATTTTAACGCCCTATAAGTTCGGACACTTTTTAGCGCGGACCCGACGTCCATATAATTGTAAGTCAATGGTACTAACGGTTCATTTTGCTTGGGTCGAGTGGCAGGGACATTGGTTTATTTCAGAATTATTTTTTTTACTAACGAAACTAAAGCCTTTTGAATGTATATCGTATATGTGTACTATTTAGTTCAGTTGATGTAAAAAAATTATCATTGGTATATGTAAAGAGGTACGTTACATTACCAAATTCGAGGTAAGTTTGTTTTTTTTTCCATCGTGAAAGTTTTTGGGAATCGTGTTTTCACACCGTATATTAATCAGTGTATATCCACAATTTACTATAAATATTTTTTCCAAACTGATTGATTCAACACTTCCACTGTTCCAAATCAACGTAAACGATCAAATAATTTTTCAAATGTATCCTTCAAACTCATTGACTTACAATTATATGGACGTCGGGTCCGCGCTAAAAAGTGTCCGAACTTATAGGGCGTTATATATAAATCGTATACAGAGCGTCATTCACGCTTTAGTCTTCGTTTGTTCGACTGACAGCGAAGCAAGCAAAATTAGACAGTACTGCGATGACATTACAATTTAAATTCAACGTTTTAGCTTTTTCATATTCCTTTACATGTCACTACGTTTAAATAGGTTGACTTGGGACATTTTTTTCGTGGTTTTTGTATTAGACCCGTCGTCCATTTATTTGTAAGTCAATGTTCAAACTTCAAGTTTATTTTTTCAAACAATATATTGCCTACAGCTTTCGCAAATTTAAAATGATCATTTAAATACATGCCAAAAATAAGTAGTAGTGTAGTGTTTTTGTCTTCTCTTTTGTTTTAGTGTACATGTACCATAGAGTATATAACCAGATACAGAGACGAAATAAGGGCCATCCATTCCTGACAACTCATCAAGCAAATTATGTCACTTTTAAATGTCAACTTTTGAATTGATGTTTATAATTGATGTATCACAGGTGTGTATGGCCCTTATTTCGTCTCTATTTCTGGTTATATGCTCGATTTCTGAAACGGACCCAACTCAGCATATGTTACAGCTCGCCGGCTGTAACGCTGATTTTCAGTTGAAACCGCTTTTAAAGATGAGATGGTACAAAAGTACTAATGTATGTAATTGTTTTTTTTCTCTTCCGTGATTGAAAATATCACATCATGGCCAACCAGTGACATTGGACAAGCACATCGAGTATATAACCAGAAATAGAGACGAAATAAGAGCCATACATTCCTGGTAACCCATCTCGTGATTTTTCACATATTAAATATCAACTCTCGTTTGCACTGAAATCACAAATTAGAAAGCTGAAACAGTACAGCGCCAACAACCGACCTGTGTGTACGTCTCCGTATATTCCAAAAATATTCTGTATTTATTGTAATAAAGATAATATCTGTAACAATGGCGCGCTGTTCCATTCGGTGGTGTGATGAAAAACAGCAGAACATCTAGTTACAAAACAAACGGAATCAAATTTCATCTGTAATTAAATATGTGATTTTTCAGTTTTCGTCCATTATAGCAAAGCTCAAGTTAAACTGGTCGATTTGAAGTGAAACAATTGACGACACCGTCAATTGTTTCCAATTCGAGCTGGCCAAACCTGGCCAGCACTATTTATACAGCAGGATTTGGCAGAATAGTTTTCAAACAAATTAAATGACATTTCGTCTCTATTTCTGGTTATATATTCTATGACGTGTACTAACATTAGTATTTAAATGTAATACCTTGTTACTATCACTAAATGGGTTACTAGTTTCAAATTTGTGTAATAGTTTTTGATCAATCAAACCTTGTTTAAACTTAGGGCACTTAGTACTGAAAATGCGTGGCTGCCCAAATTATGTGCCCGGAAGTGTATTATAACAGATATCAGATACTATTTACCTATCAGAACTGCGTTGCTTTCTGTTGCGATTAAAGCCTTCGACATATCGCTGTTCGTATGAATTTGGATTTAGTTTTCTTGCATCTGCGCCCACACTACAAAAAAGTTTTTAGTATAATTCAAATACTTATATCTGCCGTCAGGGATATTGTTGTTATAACGCTGCTCTGTTTGTCATAACGATTTGTTGTTGGTAATTTTCGAGATCGAGTGTCGTCTGTTGTTGTAAGTTAAAATACCATAGGAAATGAAACTATTTTTCCGGATTTAAATCACATATATTTGTTTTTTTCAAACAAACCGACGACGTTTCGGGCCCTTTACAGGTTGGTCACGATTCACTGAGGTGGTACAACCAGTTACGTCTGATATAAATGCAAAACATTTTTTGACTATAGTTACAAAAGTAATTAATTAAATACCTAAAGTAAAAAAGTACAAACAGTAAGAAATTCAAAGATTTTTCGGAACTTCCGTAAGCCGTCTTGTGTCGGATGCGAGCAACCGGCAACTAAATTGAGATGAAGTCGAAGTCCAAGATGTAAACAACTATCTCTATATAAATTATTGAATAACCTACTGTACAATTTAATTTATAAAATTTCTAATTATCATTGTCACATTACATCTAAAATAAAACACAAAAAAAAAAATTCAATCAAAAACACTAATAATATAAGTAATGAAAACCAAATAGGAACGAAAATTAAAAGGGACCGCTCTGAACCGTACCCGGCTCAAACGTCCCCATCACACTAGCCGCATTACCGCGCTGGATGGCCAGTGAAATCTGCTGCACCAGGTAAGATCCAGAGCGTGGATCATAGCCCCTTTCTCGGAGCCGGCGGCCCAACTCCCGCACAAATTCCTTGGCCTCAGCAGCCCAAGTCCCCGCAGTCTCCACTGCAATTGGCACAAAATCGTACATTGGTTCCAACGCGATGTATTTTGTGTGTTTTAATTTTGCCGCATATTCCGCAGCTGACCCGGCAAATCTGGTGGTGTGACTCAGATGGGACGGTGCAAATGTACTGACACACGTAGCGTCCCACAATAGGCATCGACCTCTCCGCCATGGAACCAATGTAAGACCGTCAGGCCTCTTGCCATCCGTACGGCACAACCCCGGAGGTTCCAAGACACAAGGCACGTTAGCCAACACCAAAGCCCGGCGAACTAAATCGTTAATCGCATGATGCCTTGAAAACCGCCCCGCGCACCTTATTTTTACCTTATACCTTATTTTTAATTTTACAAAGAAAACATTCCAATTTACGCTACATTACGTTTTACAAATTATTTTGTTGAATGAATTTTTATTAAGTTCTATTTATTATTAATTAATAAACAATTTTTTGCTTTTTTAACTCAAATACATCCTTTTTATGTATATTATGCAAGCCATATTTTAAAGTAAAGAAATCACTTTGTGTTATGTTTACTTTCAAACATGGAACCTATAATATACATAATAATTGTAACTTTTTCATTCAAAAAACAGACCTAAGAACATTGACTTACAAATAAATGGACGACGGGTCTAATACAAAAACCACGAAAAAAATGTCCCAAGTCAACCTATTCGAAATTTAAATTGTAATGTCATCGCAGTATCGCGCTGTCAGTCGAACAAATGAAGACTAAAGCGGAGTGTCGCGCTCTGTATACGATTTTAGCGCCTTACAAGTGCGGACACTTTTTAGCGCGGACCCGACGTCCATATAATTGTAAGTCAATGCCTAAGAAGTTTACTTATCGGATTTTTTCGATTTCCATGGGATTTCCTCATCAGATTTTGACTTTTTGGTGACTATGGGAGTGTTATACACTCCTTTGAACATTTTATACTATTTTCTGGTTGTCATGTTGACGGTGATTTGTTGATTACATGTATTGTGTAAAGTGAAAAGTCGACTTTTATTTGCGGAAAATAATTGTTTAATTTGTGCACCGTCGGCATCAGGGATAACCTCGAGAACAAACCCAAAAAACCCTCACATCACCCTTTCAAACAATTAAAGAATTTTCAAAATCGGTCCACAAAGTGACGTAGAAACCGGTAAGTACACAGACATGCTTATGAAATTAGAGGATTTTTCACGATTTCCGTGGATTCTATCATCACATTCTGAATTGGTGACAGTGGGAACATCACAAGAGTGCACCCTTTCAAACAAAAAAAGAATTTTAGAATTTTCAAAATCGGTCCACAATTGACTAATTGATAATAACGCATAGAAACCTAGTCAGCACACGCTAAGTGAGGCAAATTGAAGCGCTCCCAATGGGCCTACACGAGCGGGCGGGCCTTCAGTGCTCAAGGTCAACTTGCATCGCGAACAGCTCCAGAATTTTAGCTAAAAATGACGAAATGTGCGGTAAATGAGTGTAAAAATACGTCAGACAAACATAAAATAGATACTAACATCACATTCCACAAGGAAGTAACGCGTTTCAACTTGTATTTTGTTATAAATATTCACTAAAACCGAAAATTAACCTACTACTAAAACTTTGCCTCACTTGTGACAGTTCGTTTGATATGAAACTATCATTCTATGCGTTATTATTCTAAGGTAAAATATACATAAAACTTACATACAGCCGAACGTAACCTCCTCCTTTTTTTTAAGTTGGTTAAAAAGCAAAAAATTGTATTTGTTTGTTTTGTAAAAAAATTTTCATCCGGTTTTTAAAATTCAAATTTTCAACAAGGGCTTAAGGAAATGACGTTTAGTATACCAGTTTCAAAGTTGCATAATAGTTCTTGATCAATCAAGCATTGTTTAAGCTAAGGGCATTTTTTTTTTTTTTTTTTTTTTATTTAAGAACAAATAACTTTATTTACAATGTGTAAAGAAAAGCGGTGTCGCATAAACCTATTACAGATTTTTCTGTACACCGCAAAATGATTTGAAATTTAATATTGAAAATGCAAGGTGGTTCGAATTGTGTGTCTGGGAGTATATGTATTGTATAACAACTTACGTGGGAGGTATTCAGATTTTGGCACGTGTCTTTTTTTATTTAAAATGTCAATTAGGGTCGCCGATTTTGCTTAACAATAAAATTGAATGTCAACCGTGACCATGGCACCTAAAAAAGGGCCCGTAACGTCGGTCTGTTTGAAAAAACAAATATACGCGATTTAAATCCGGAAAAATAGTTTCATTTCCTATAATAAAATTAAAAAGTAAATAACATATTAAAACACCATTTATCCCAGCTCACGCGTTGTCCGAGAGTTGTGACCCTTCACCGAAAAACTTAAATTTTTAGCACATAAATTCCGAAAAACACGTACACGTTATATTATATCAAGTGACGGGACGAACAAGTCGTGCGCCTGATGGTAAGCTTCACGCCTGTCCATAACAGTTGCAGTGTCACACAGAGCTTTAAATCGCTAAGATCTGTGAGGCACTGCCACTGCACCCGTCACCCTGAGACATACGTTGACAAGTCCCATGTGCCAGCACCCTTATACCCTTCAAAACCGGAACACAGTAATGTTAACACGATGCTTGGCGGCAGAAATAGGTAAGGTGGCAGTACTTTCCTGGACCAACCCTTTCACAAGGAGCTTTACTGCTATAAATGGTCAAACCATTAGACAACAACGCCGGCCCGACAGTTCTAAAATCTATAATATTGGATGGCACCACTATTCTAGAAAATCCGCGATGTGTTTATATTGATTTACCTATATATACAATGTGGTTTTCTATTGCGGTTCAAGCCTTCAAGATACCGGTGTTCACGAGGAATTGGTCTTGGTTTTCTTCGATCCAAATCCGAACTAAAACATAGAAGTTATTTATAACAACCATAGATTTTTTTAAATAAAAATACCGATCTCAAGTTCGTGGAATTACGTCTGTTTGTCAACTTTTATCGAAATCGGTTAACAAAAAGTGGGTGAAATCCGATAAACCGGATTCAACCCCTAATTTACCACTCTTGGAGGTAGAATATTTTACTAATGAGGTATCCCCTTTCCATCACAAAAAAATAATTAACCAAATTTTTTTTGAAGTCGGTTAAAAAGAGCTGATGATCTTTAAACAGTCGAACGAAAAACGAAATATAGCAACAAAAATACCATTTGGACACTGCGCCACACGAGTCTTTGCCTCGCGTCAGAATAAATGCCCCCACGCGAGTAATTTCATACTAAATAATTGATGCACATGATTATATTATTCACCTATCTGTACCACATGACGATATTACTTACATATCTGTACCACATGAAAATATTATTCACCTATCTATACCACATGATAATATTAATTCAACTTATCTGTACCACATGATAATATTATTTACCTATCTGTACTATAATATGAAATGATTTACCTATCTGTACCATATGATTATTTTATGTACCTGTCTGTTCCACACGATTTTCCGATCCAGTAGCAGTTTTCAATATCGTGCTCTTCACGTGAATTTAGTTTTCTTGCAACCAAGTCCGCACTAGAAAATAGAAGTTACTATATAATAAAAATGTTGCATGTTTTTGTTATAATTCTTTGTACTGACTTTTCGGCATTCGTCGCCGCTAGTGACTTCCAGCGAGAGATTTTTGAGTAACATTCTCACCGCATATAGCGTCCAATTTTAAGGGTCTTCACAAACTTATTTTTATTTTAAATTTTTATTGAATTGATATTCAATTATTCTTTGTGAAATTACTCCACTAGTTTGTTATAATTATTAATACAAAGATCGAACACTCAGAAAAAATTCCTTCGATCCGGTCGGATTCGAACCGACGTCTTCTTGCATACCGTGCCAGACGCTATACCAACTAAGCCACGGAACGAACCAACGTTTTTTATTTTTATTATTAAAATACACTACAATTTATGATGACCAGTGATCGGAATTAAGAGAGTTAATTTAGCTAAACCAAAGAATAATGTATTAGCAGCAGTATACCTCCTTGTGAAAGTGTTCGTCCAGGTAAGTAGGTACTGCTTTACCCATTTCTGCCGCCAAGCAGTAATATTAGTATTACTGCGTTCCGGTTTTGAAAGGTAAGGGTGCTGGTGAAATTACAGGGACGCGGGACTTGTCAACTTATATCTCAGGGTGACGGGCGTAATGGCCGCTCAGATCTTTGCGATTTAAAGCTCTGAGTGGCACTGCAACTGTTACGGACAGGCGTGCAACTTATAATCAGGCACACGACTCGTCGTCACTTGATATTATAAAAAAATGTGGACCCGTCTTCCGGGATATGTAGAAAGGAATGTCCACGTCATTCTTTAGTTTAGCTATATTGACTCCCTCAGTTGAGATCATTCTATGTGGAATTTGGGCAGAGTTGACACGCGGTTCTGCGTAATAGTAAGAGTGACTTGGTCCGCATGAAATTTATCGAAAGAAGGTAGAAAGAACAAAGTAAGAAAGGAGATGGAAAGGAAATTGAAGGCTGTAACAAAAAACAATGGTATAAAAACACAGATACAATACTAGAAAACACTCCCTTACTTAAATTACATACGGATATGCTTATGGATAAATATAGACAGTTACCCCAAAAGGGCCTGTATTCGTTTATATATTGCTGCCTTGAAGTCACGGCTTTTCTTTTCGAGAATTTTGTAAGGGCGCGTTCCCATGACGTCGTAACGTTTATCGTTGATTGACTGTCGCGTCTAGCCTGTTCCCATATCTCGACTATCTGTCACGTTTATTTTATCGTTGAACGACTGTCGTGTCTAGCTGTTTCCACTAGATCGTGACGACAATTTATCGGTTCACGGCAACCGCCTTGTCGTATCCACGACAGAATCGTTTTTATCCTCACATTTTATCGTGACGATTTATTTATTCATATATATCAGGTGACTGTCGTTCTAGCTCTTCCCATTGTCACGACAGTCTGTCGTAGTAACTTCAAAAAAGTCGTAAACGACAGTTAATCGTGTTTTTTAAATGTACAGGCTACGACACTTTAAACTGCACGGCTGTCTGTCGTCACGACATAATGGGAACGCGCCCTAAGAAGCAAAGTAAGAACGACAAAGAAAAAGAATAAGAACGATTCAAAATTTCAAAAGTAAGGGACCAGGAATCCGAGAAAAGGGCGATAAAAAGGTGGAATGATGATTTTTTAAAAACTTTTATTTAGGGGCTTTGATCGTTTTTTGAACATGTGCGCTCCATTAGAAAAAACTTAATAAAAGTCTGGATTTTATAGATAGATCAAAACACTATCTAGCCAAACATGTATATAAAATCTTCGCAGCATTACATGTTGGCTCCTACAAAATGGAACCACTGTGAAACCACCCAACAATGTACTCATCCGTAGAACAAAGACTTATGTGTAACACTGTTCATTCTCAGGACACTGTACACTTCTATTGTTCTTCTTCGCTTTTGATATCAGATCGACTGTTGTTCGATTTTATATTTCCAGAACGAAATAAAATCTGAAAATTCTGAATGCACCTTTAGATAAGTCTTAGGTTGAATAACGAAATTATGTATTTATCGTCTTTTCGCTCGTCGGGCTCTGTTCTTCGGAGGAAACCAGTCTGGGCAATGAACCGCGTCCTGACAGGTTCCGTCCCAAGAGATTCCGAAGAGATTCATTATTATGGATATTACAATGAACCTCTTTTTGTTCGGATGATTCTGAACATGTTTACTTGTAAAATAGCAGAGCCCGTGCTTAAGCATTTTGTTGGCGTGTTGGCATGACAACCCACTCAAAACTTTATATTAAATTAAAATGTAGATCAAGGGGTGCACTTTTTATTTTATTTTACTTTTATTATTATTATTATTTAGTATTTTATTTTATTTTATTTTATTACATTAACAAATTTTGAACTGTAAAGTAACATACTACCTAAGGTTTCTGTAAAACTAACAATTGGACTTGAGTTGTCTTGAATAAAAAACTATTTTTATTATTACGTTTCGGGGCGATTTATATTGAGCCCTACTTACTTGTTGAGTGAAGGGGTTCTGTGGCGTTGTGCGGCGATTATCTTTTGTGCACTTTGTGGACATTCAGGCGTTGCTTTCAAATTACATAACTGCAGTGGCCTAAAATTACATAGCTCCTTGTGAAAGCGTTCGTCCAGGATAGTACTGCCACCTTACGTATTTTAGCCGTCAAGCAGTAATGTGAGCATTACTGCGTTCCGGTTTGGAAGGGTAAGGGTGCTGGTGAAATTGACAAGCATATAGGACTTGTCAATTTACGTCTCAGGGTGACGGGCGTCAATTTTGAAACATCAAAACTCGGCCACGAAAATATCGTCGCGTTTGAAGCGCGATTTTAAAGCGTCAAAACATCAGCGTTGTCAATTTGTGGGGAATTCCCCAAATTGAGGGGAATTTCAACGAATTTCAACTCGATTGGGGATTTTGTGGGGATTGGCGCTATGTGGGGAAAATGTGAGGATTCTAAAGAATTTTAATTTCTTCCCACAACTGTTTTACGACAGTCCTAATCTTATGTTGTTCCATCCTCACACCTTTCTAGTCATCGAGTATATAACCAGAAATAGAGACGAAATGTCATTTAATTTGTTTGAAAACTATTCTGCCAAATCATTACAGTGCGACAACTGCGCTCGGATTGGCCAGCCCGAATTCGAAATAATTGACGGGTGTCGTCAATTGTTTCACTTCAAATCGACCAGTTTAACGTGAGCTTTTCTATAATGGACGATAACCGAAAAATTACATATTTAATTACCGATGAAATTTGATTCTGTTTGTTTTGTAACTAGATATTCTGCTGTTTTTCCTCACACCACCGAATAGAGCCGGCATTGTTAGAGATATTATCTTTATTACAATAAATACAGACTATTTTTGGAATACACGGAGACGTACACACAGGTCAGTTGCTGGCGCTGTACTATTTCAGTGTAAACGAGAGTTGATGTTTATAAGTGATATATCACTGATGAGTTACCAGGAATGTATAGCCCTTATTTCGTCTCTATTTCTGGTTATATACTCGATGGCTCGAGCATTCTGTATTATTTCGTCGTCATTTGACGTCACACTGCGCCTAGCGCATTAGCGAGAATTCGCAGACGTGATTTTTGGCTCGTTTGTAGTTTGTACGTTACAAATTGACCACAAAGTTCATTATGCTATGTATAATATCGTTACAAAAATATAAATTGAGCCTTAGATCTTTGCGACTGAACGGTCTGAGTGGTATTGCTACTGACGGATAGGCGTGACTAGTCCCGTCATTAGGTATTATAAATAATCTCAGTACAGAGTACTAAAAAAACCAACCTCAAAAGTACGTGGAATTACGTCTATTTGCTAAGTTTTATTGAAATATCCTCTAGTTCGCCACTATACAGGACTTGATACTGGAGATAATAAAAATAGGTTCTCACTACGACACTACTCAAAGTAGATATAAGAGAGAAAAACGCCTTGAATTGGAGAAATAGCAAAATCAACTAAATAATTGCTAAAAGTAATTGCTCCTAAATTAAAGTTAGGCGCTTTTATGTTATGGAAATACCCTCTTTCCAACAAAAAAAGAATCATGAAAATCGGTTCACAAATACCGGAGTTATCGCGTAACATACATACAAAAAAAAGAAAAAAAAAGAACATACAGTCGAATTGAGAACCTCCTCCTTTTTTGAAGTCGGTTAAAAAAAGAGAAACACATCATAGCCAAGGGGCAGAGGAAGGCAGCCCCGGATCCTAGGGTGAACAAACCACGGCACCGGGCCAAAATAATAATATAATATGTTTAATAAAAATAGCTTCAAAATTAAAATCAAATCCAAAATAATCTTTATTTCATGGGTAACCATTATTACACTGAAATCGTCACATTCGTTAAACTCTACCGCTCATTCGTAAGACAGATTCCCCTGAGAAGAATGAGCAAGAAACTCTAGGGGTTGCTCTTTGTAAACAACATACGTACGCTTCGAGCACACGTTGTTCTATCGATTATTCATTTGATTTTAAAATATCTGCCGCTAACCTATCTGCGTTCAACAGTAGCTCAGGAGGAATAGGAAGGATTCTTTTGCGCAGAAATGGGTATGGCGGCAGTACATCTCTGGACGAACTGTTTCTCGTAACTTTTTTACATAAAAAAACCGTGTCATGCTCTGTAGCCACGCCACCCTATTTTTCATTATTATGATGTTACCGTTGACTTACAATTATATGGACGTCGGGTCCGCGCTAAAAAGTGTCCGAACTTATAGGGCGTTAAAATCGTATACAGAGCGTCATTCACGCTTTAGTCTTCGTTTGTTCGACTGACAGCGAAGCAAGCAAAATTAGACAGTACTGCGATGACATTACAATTTAAATTCAACGTTATAGCTTTTTCATATTCCTTTACATGTCACTACGTTTAAATATGTTGACTTGGGACATTTTTTTCGTGGTTTTTGTATTAGACCCGTCATTTATTTGTAAGTCAATGGATGTTACCGATTGTAATATACGGCTGACGTACATAATGTATACATGTATTTTTACTAACTCTTCCACAAGGAGCTCTACTGCGACTAAAATTTTGCGTCTCTTGTAGGTACACCTAGAGGTAAAATTACAGTTTGGACACCTGTGACATTTCGGACCGTCATGTTATGCAAGGCTGCGTAGTTGTTGTTTCACGCGAGTGTTTGTATTGATACCTGAGCAAGCGAAGGAGTTTAAGATTGAACCACGGGCGAAACGAGTGGTTGGAAAATAGAATCCAGAGCGCAGCGAGGGTGTCAACGACGTAAAATAACTGCCGAACGAAACACACAACTTTTCAGCTCACTATAGCGAGGAAAATGATAGATGAAAGAATAACAGTTGAACTATGACAAAATGAGTTATCGTTCTCGATTTAATGTCAACAAGTAAATCAACGGATTTATATTACATTAATTTCATAATGTACGACAAATTGCGTAGTTGAACGTGTCATATGTTTTTTTTTCATCGAAAGAAAAAGTTAGGTGCATTGGGTGCACCACGTAGAGTTCGAATTTCAAAAGCCTTTTCCGCGCTAGCGTGGAAAAAATGCTTTAGCGCGCAGATTTCTAATTAGAAAGAAACCCTTTCCGAGCTAGTGAGGTGAAAAAGAAATTTTATACGCATCGATGACGAAAATAAACGTTCAAACTTTAGATAGATTAAATCCCTCAATTCCGGTCACTGGTTATGTATTCCTTACCTTTGTATGCGTGACCCAGTGTTATTATTAAAGTTTTTATTGCTAACGGTCAAGTACGCACGATGGACACAACCACATTTCTGTGGGCAAATTTCCCGGTGGCCAGGTTTTTTGCGTTCTCTTCCTTCAAGGCCAATATCGTCGTCCGTTGATTTCGCATAGTTTTGGAATATTGGACTACTAGAGTACCTGAAAAGACATTATCGTAACTTTAATTATAATAAATATAATAAAGCTACATTTTTTTATAATACCCAGTGATGGAATCTATAAAGTACTAACCACACACATCAGCAGGCTGATTCTAATCATCATCCGAGTCTCGAAATCAGATGGGTTTCCGAGCGAGAAGATGAACCTGATTCCCACTATATTTTTCCAATTTGTGAGTTAAATGTCAAAAGTTTCCGATCGGCCAGTTGTGAATCGCAATCGCCTCGACTCGGAAAAGACGCAGTTTCCGATCGAGTGAGGCAATCAAAATCAAGCTGCAGAGTCGTGCCCGTGACGTGGACGGGCCATGCTCCGTCAGGGGCTCAAAAAATATCGCTGCTTCTATTTTGCATGAACTCGTTCACAAAGTTTTGTAGAAATTAACAGAGTTGTAAGTAAAATAAGCTAGTTTAATTTAAAGTCAAATAATCAATTATTCCATAGGTAAAATTTTTACACTTGTCAACGTCATATTTTTTAAGCTACTGCTCGTTCATTACGCTGACCTCCACGAGAAGAACGAGCAAGAAACTCTAGGGATTGCTCTTTTCCCTTTGAATCATAATTGTGTGGAATCTAGACTCTTCTTGTCTTTCCATACATCTTTATCTAACAAATACTCTTCAATTTTGTAATATGACTTTTCAATTAAAATACTTTTAATGTAAGTTTTAAACTTAGGAAATGATAAACTTAATATATGCTCCGGAATCTTATTGTAAAAACGTATACAGTTCCCCATAAAAGAGTTGTTTACTTTAGTTAAACGAAATCGTGGTACCATGAGTTTGGACTTAGTTCTAAGGTTTAGGGATATCTTCTTTCTTAATGAAATTATGTGTATGTTTACGGGCATATAAAATATTTGAGTAAATGTTCTGCGATGCCACAGTCAAGCTACCAGCCTCTTTAAACTTTTCTCTGAGAGAAACCCGAGCCTCTTGGAACGATTACAACAATGAACTTTAAACTTAATAATCTCAGTACAGAGTACTAAAAAAACCGACCTCAAAAGTACGTGGAATTACATCTATTTGCTAAGTTTTATTGAAATATGAAATATATAAAAATCGGTTCTCACTACTCAAAGTATAGTGAGAGAAAAACGCCTTGAATTGGAGAAATAGCAAAATCAACCATTAAAGTAATTGCTCCTAAATTAATGTTAGGCGCTATTATAGGCCTAAATTAATGTTAGGCGTAATTAAAAACAAATAATGTACGTAGTCAACAGTACCTGGCTTTTTTGGAGTACGTTTTTTTGATAGACGATCGCTTTCTTTCATTGTCACAGTCGTTTTGTCGGTGGAACGCTCGTCTAGCGGGACACGTTATACGGCTGAAAGCATATGTTAAACATGAAGTTTTAATATTGAATTTTAAAATAGGGCGTAAGTATTATAAAACAGTCGTTAAAACCTAAAACGTGCTACTCTGAAAAATCAAATTAATGTCACTTGCGCCCTTACTACAAAACTCCCACGATATAATGTTAACATCGAGTATATAATCAGAAATAGAGACGAAATAAGGGCGATCCATCCCTGACAACTCACCAGGCAAATGGGCCTTATATCACTTTTAAATATCAACTCTTGTTTTCGTCGTTCACAAATTAGAACGCTGAAATAGTACAGCGCCAACAACTGACCTGTGTGTACGTCTCCGTATATTCCGAAAATATTCTGTATTTATTGTAATAATGACAATATCTCTAACAATGGCGTGCTGTTCTATTCGGCGGTGTGGGAAAAACAGCAAAACATCTAATTACAAAACAGATGAATCATAATTTCATCGGCAATTATATTATAATTTCTCAATTTTCGTCCGTTATAACAAAGTTCAGGTTAAACTGGTATTTTTGTAGTGAAACAATTGACGACACCCGTCAAGTGTTTCGAATTCGGGCTGGCCAATCCGAGCGCAGTTGTCACTGTAATGATGTGTTCAAACAAATTAAGGAACATTTCGTCTCTATTTCTGTTTATATACTTGATTAATCTTAATAATAATATACTTAAATGTGGAAGCAGTGGAAATGCCTATGTTGAGATAGATGTGTGGAGTGACGAGAAAGGATAAGATAAGGAATGAATATATCAGGGGAAGTTTGAAAGGGGCACCAGTGACGGAAAAGATGAGAAGTAGTAATAGGTTAGCGTGGTATGGACATGTCATGCGGAGGCAAGAATGTCATGTGACGAGAAGAGTGCTAGGTATGAATGTGGAGGGATATAAGGAAGGCCAAAGAAAAGATGGATGGATTGTGTGACAATAGACAACATTAATATGTAACACTTAATTAAAGTGAATAGCGACATCTCTAGCCAGATTTGGGACCTGTAAAGGTGCCGAACTAGGTCACAAAATACTTTCATAGATTTCTCATAGATGGCGCTACGGCTAAAAAGTCGTTAAAAACCAGATACAAAGATCCAACAACAAGCACATAGAGGAATACGGAATTCGGTCGAATCGAAGGAATTTTTTCTAAGTTAAAATAATATGAATAAATTAAGAACAGGCGGAGAAAAATTTACACAGATTTGGGCAGCTGGCGGTTTTAGTTTTGCACGCCATTGTTAGAGATAATATCTTTATTACAATAAATACAGAATTTTTTGGAATATACGGAGACGTATACACAGGTCAATAGTTGGTCTGTCTATATTTCAGTGCAAACGAGAGTTGATATTTATAAGTGATGTATCACTGATGAGTTACCAGGAATGTATGCCCTTAGTTCGTCTCTATTTCTGATTATACGTGAGGCGGCGGGGCACTATAAGTTTCCGGAATGAATAAGAAAAAAATACTATAAATGGTCAGAAATAAATTAATTGTTTCTCAAAAGTCCGTTAGCGTTAATGCACTTTTTCAAACCAATTTTGAAAACGTTTATGCCACTCCTCCGTGACAATCTCTGAAACATATTTTTCATACTCTTCAACAGCCTCTTCAGGTGATGAAAATCGTTGACCGCGTAATTGGTTCTTAATTTTTGGGAATAAATAAGAGTCACAAGGTGCCAGGTCGGGACTGTACGCGGGATGGCTCATAAGGTCAACGTTGTTCACCTTCAAAAATTCATTTGTCTGTCTGGCCGTGTAAGAACTGGCATTATCGTGGTGCAAGATGATACAGCGTTTATGGTTATTTTTGCGGAGTTTATCAATAGCTTCAGGCAAACAAATGGTCGTGTACCAATCACTATTCACGGTACAACGATTCTCCAAAGCAACAGTAGCCATGTGTCCAGTTTTATTAACAAAAGAAGCAATCATCCGCTTAGAGGTACTTTGCACGCGCGCCACTTTAGTTGGTTTCGGCTCATCTCGAAAGACCCATACGCTCGATTGCTGTTTTGTTTTGGGATCGTAACTATAAATCCATGTTTCGTCACCTGTTACTATGTCCCACACCAAATTTGACGCCCCTTCGTTGAATCTGGTAAGCATGGTATTACACCTAGTGAGATCCGTTTTTTGAGCCCCAGTCAAATTGTGTGGGATCTACCGAGAGCACAGCTTTTTCACACCCAAATTTTTGTGTTGTATTGATTGTATTTCACTCATGCCTATGCCTAAACATGCCCGAATCTCATGGTATGTCACATGCCTGTCTGTTTTGATCATACGGCGCACAGCATCGATGTTTTTGTTGTTCACAGCAGTGGACGGGCGAAATTCACGAAATCGTCACTGATATTCACACGACCGCATTTGAATTCTGCAAACCAGCTATAAATAGTCGTCTTGCATGGTGCTTCATCGCCAAAAGCAGTTCGAAGCCGAGCGAAGCTCCGCTGAGTTGTTAAATTACATTTAAAGTCGTAGAAAATCATACTACAACAATTTTCACGTGTTAAATCCATGGTGATGTAGACAACCAATTTCTAAAATGACGACACAATGTACAAACAAGTGACAGTCAGATAAAACAAACTGTATTCTACAGCCAAAGAGGTCCATTTTCAAATGTTGTAGTTACTTTTTAAATTTTGTCCATGTAAGTGGCCAGTTCTGGAAACTTATAGTGCGACCTATGTATACTCAATGACTAGAAAGGTGTGACCGTATGTAAGTATGGTAATAACCGCTGATAAGGAACAGAGGAAGAACGAAGGACATGAAGAAGAATAAGATATATAAACTAATATTTTTTATATAATACCAAGTGACGGCACGAACAAGTCGTGCGCCTGGTGGTAAGCGACACGCCTGTCCATAACAGTTGCAGTGCCGCCAGTGGTGGTTTTTTGCGATCTTGGCTGCCCTAGGCGCCAGGCCATGTAGTCAGTACCAGCATCCGTCCAGTAGTTTTTGAGCTTATCGCGACCAGACAGACGTAGTCATGTATTGATTATACATTACATTGTAGATATGTAACTTATCTATATTTTAAGCATAAAACGTACGAAAGTGATTTAGGAAGATTATTGTTACACGATGCGGTGGAGTAGAATAGAATAGAATAGAATAGAATTATTTATGTCGGACCATGATCCATAGTAATTTTAGTAATATAGTAAATTTTCTTACGTGCTTTGGTTAGTACACTATAAAATTACTTAATTCTAGAGAAATGTCACGCCTAGACCACTATCCTAAGCACGTGTAGCACCCAATGTAGTTGGTACGGGTAGGCCAGGCTGTTGGCAACAACGGCTAGGATGCCATTAGCGCTGCCGTGCACACGCATCATGAGTGAGGCAGACTTCTTGCGCATAATGGCATGAAAGCCATCTCTACAGGGTCGCGGCAGCCCCGTTAGCATCCTAAAAGCGTTGTTATATTGCACCCTTAATGTATTCAGGGTTCTCTGCGTATACTTCACCCACAGGCTGCTTGTGAAAAAGTGCAGGCCCGCCATAATGTGCGTGAGCCTTTAGAATATTTAAGTACTTTGAATTATTTCTTGTTATCGTCAGTGGATTTTTTGTCACGATCGGCTGCCTCTAAAATCTGACCGCCCAAGGCCCGGGCCTCCAGTAGCCAGGCTTTAGGGCAAATAAGCCACTGAGTGCCGCTCAGAGCTTTAAATCCCAAACATTTGAGGGGCTCTGCCACTGCGCCCGTCACCCTGAGACATAGGCTAACAAGTCCCATGTGCTGTAATTGTGAATGTAATGATGCGTACGGGAAAGGAATGGAATACTCCATCGGAATGGTACAATTTGGGACTATTCAAGAATAGAGTTAATAGGCATGTTTTAGGCAAACGCGGTCACATGGACCGATTATTTATATATTTTTTATTTTGCCTTAAAATAATTAATGTTAACAATTTCAAGAAAAAATTAAAACACAATTATTTTTTATAGTATTGGCTTTTAAAGCCAGCTGCGGCGCTCTTCAGTGACTGCCGCAACATACAATATTTTCATTTAAAAGCGACACTTACAAAAATAATTCATAAAATACAGTAAACAATGCACTTTATTACAATGTAACAATTGTAGTTAGCTCAGAAACAGTAACATTATTAATATAGACTGTGACTGTACTAACCGGTAAGTCCTACTGGTAGGACCACGGGCAAAAAACTTTGCCCTTGGTCTAACTAGTTGTACTACGCAGTTAGAACACGGGCAATGAATAAAAAAAATATTCAAAAATTTATTTTGAATGTCTGTTAATAGAAAGTTAGGTCCCAGTTATCTTTCCTTCCTTCAATTCCGGTTTTTATTCTCACTCCTTCACTGTTCATGCGGTCATTTGACCTCCATATCACCAGATGGAAAGTGACGATAAGGTCGACGATGTAGCATGCACACCAAAATAATGCCTATTCACTCTCGCCTTGAAAAGATCCAAGTTATAGCGTTTGGGGAACAAGTCCGCAGGTAGGGAATTCCACTCTCTAGCCGCTCGCCATATATTCTTACGAAGCAAAACGATTCGTGAGAATCCTGGGAATATCCACAACATAGGGGTGGAGTCCCAGCCCACGTCTAGTCCTCCGATGACGGAAAGGGGAAGGCGGAATTAAGTCGTGTAATTCCATCGTACACTCTCCGTGATATATCCTGTAGAATACCGACAAGCAGGCAACTTTACGGCGGTGTTCAAGGTTCTGTAGCTTCACCTCTACTAAATCCAAGGTGGCCAGTTGGTATTTAGCAGAGTCATTCCATAAGTGGCAGCGGTACTCCATACACGACCGGACTTGTGCTTGATACAGCTGAAGCAACTGTCCCGGTGTGAAGTAACGCCTCACCTTGGAAAGGATGCCAAGCTTCCTGGCTTCATTTTTGGCCATGGATTCAATGTATCTGCCAATGTTCAGATTGGACGACAGGTCCATTACAATTGGATGGAGGCGGACGGCTTTTGTATTATATAATGAAAGCAAGTCTGGCCGAAGTTCAATGTAAATTGGAGGCTTCGGATAACACCATCTGTGAGTTACGTGCCCAAGTTGTATTACTGAGTAGTGCAACTTCGGTAAGTAGGTCACCCGAGGCCTGTAACGTGAATACTCGTCGCGGGGCACATAATGCATCTATCGGCAGTTTTGAGTCGGCCCATATGGATGCGTCACCGACCGCTGTCGCTGAGTGCGATTCCCCGCGCCCCGCCCCTCGATTGTCCGCTCCGGCGGAGACGTCACGCGTAAACACGTTGACCCCTCCACGTGATTACGCCGCTGTCGCGGCTGTTAACCGACCCGTTGCTCCACAACCACAAGACAGGCAGCTATCAACGAAGGGGATGAAAAAACCTCGTGTACCTGTCTCTGAAGTTGCAAAACCACAGAGGCAGACGGACCGGTGCGACGATGACGGCTTCACAAAGGTGGAGAAGAAGAAGAGGAAGCCCACCAGCCGTAACCTGTGCGGCACTGCACCGACAGGGTCCAACTTTTTGCTGCGTCCGGCAATCCCGACAACGCTGCTGTACCTGTCACGCCTGCATTACTCCACGAAGTCTGAGGAGATAGTGGAGTACATCAGGTTGAAATCCAAATACACCCTGAGGGTCGAGCGGTTGGAGTCCCGCCACTACGTGAACTTTAATTCGTTTGTGGTGAGAGTGCCGACCGAACATCTGTCGACCTTCATGAAGGAGGATTTCTGGCCGAAGGGTGTCCTATACCGGTGATTCCGTGGCCGGTTGCCTGACACCAGATGGCGCCACACGTCGCCGACAACCTAAATACGTGTTAAATTAGTAATAGTGTTATTTTATATTGTTATGTATGTTAGTCTGTAAGGTATGTATCTATGGGTCTCAGTAACCTGAATATAAATATAAATAAATAAAAAAAAAAAAATAATTTTGTTTTTTGTGCAGGTAAGCTAACAAAGATAAGGTATTTAGGTCTGCAGGAAGAAATTTCTTATAGAAATAAGCAGTACCGTTTGTTTGTGTTTTCCTTTTATTAAATGTAATCTGTGCTTTTTCCTGTGCAATGAATAATGTAATAATAATAACGAAAAAGGAAAATGACCGTACAAACCTCAAATAAGATGACGGCAGCCGTGCAGTTTGTTCAGTACGACGTGTCGGCTGGTCAGTTGTCTCTTTTTTGCGCGGGAGAATGTACTGATGCGAATGGGCCGGTCGCATTTTGGACAAGCTGATCGGGAAAATTGGTAAAAATACATTTCATTCCCTTGGTGTAATCGTGGGGTATCAATTATTCGTAGAAATTAACTTTTATATAAAAAAAATCCAACCTTAAAGGTTTCAGTGTTTCCCGTTGCTCAGATTGTTTAGCCAGTGGAATTTTTTCCCATTGTCCAGACTGACTAGACAACTGGCCAATCGTCAGGATGACAGAAAAATGCATAACCAAGGTCAAAATAGTTTAATATTTTATTTTTTACTTCTCTCTAAATTCACACTGCACTCACATTCCTGCCCTCTCTATTTTCACGATTACAAATCAATATAGAGGGGGAAAGGCAAGATAGGGTCGTATTCCAGAACTCTACACAATGCTCGAGTCAGGACTATGATTTAAAGCATTAGAAATTATACTCAAGTCCTTGCCATTAGGGTTGTATTGCCAGTACTCGAAATCATACTCAAGTCCTGACTTGAGCATTGAGCAGAATACGACCCATAGGGGCAGGAAATATGCCCTTTACAGGTCACATGTCACCTGTGACCTGTAAAAGGCCCAAAACGTTGGTAAAACGTGGCCCGGGGCCATGGCTCCCTCTGCAACCCCCACGCTACGCCACTGTGTGGAATTACATCTATTTGCCAAGTTTGCCGATTTAAATAAAACCTGGCAAATAGATGTTATTCCACGAACTTTCAAGGTCGGATTTTTTTTATAAAAAATATATAATTATTTCGTAGAAACTTTCAACTTTTATCCTTACAACTTGTCATTTTGTAGACATGGTTTTATTTTAAGTCCAAGTCCAAGTTAGAGGTATATTTCTGTATTATTTTGTTTCTTTATTTTTAAAAGCATTTAATATACTTTTCACTTCGCATGGATGTGTAATAAATGGTTAGTTACCGGAAATTCGAGTAGAGCATAGGTTCACAATATTTTTGGCGCACATAAACAAGGTATAAAAGTGTCAACGCTCATCACCACAAAAAATAATTAGAATCACGTAATTTTTCATATTAACTTAACACAAAAAAATCACAAGGAAAAAAGTCGTATTACTATATGATTTACAGTTTATTCAGGTTTTTTTTATCAACGTATTAACGCCCTCCAATTGCTTTCGAGGTCTCTACCCTTGGACTCTTCAGCACCTACTGGGGGGCGGTAGAGACCACTTTGGGAAACTATAGACTAGATCATGGGGTCTGTGAGCTGTGTGGGCTGATGGACCTCAATAGTGCACTGCAATTAGGAAGTAAGTACTTACACTGATCTTTTACGTAATTTTCCTACGAGATTTTGTTTAACAGGCATTTTTTGAGTTATTAAAAAAATATTGTTTCCTTCATGTTCACTTTTGATTTTGAAAATAAAATTTCATTTTGGCATGGCCAATCAAAAATTGCGCTTGGACCACAGACTATAAAATTCACATTATACAAGGTGAAATGATAATCAGTATTGTAACGGGCTGCTCAGGGGGCGTGGCAAAGGGCTCTTTTCAATGGCGAAGAAAAATGCAGCGGAGTAATGATAATAAAAATGAGCAAAACTTTATTGCATGTTGTATGTACAAAAAAGGCGAAATGGGAGCTATCGGAGCTCGCACGCATTCTGTGATATTTAAATGTCTAATGTGTTCCAATAAGTGCCGTATTTTTTTGCGCATTACAGCATAAAACATAACACAACACAATAATGCGTTTAGGGTGTTGATGGGGCTGACCCTGATGTAGCGCCTCGGGCATGTTCGCAGCAGCACAAGTTGACTGCTTCTACACGCATGATCTGTAGATTTTAGTCAATTCAATTTTAATTTTCAATGTTTTTTTTTTAAATTCAGTTTTAATTATCTAGATTTTAAATATAAAATATAAGTAATATGATAATAATATAATTTGAAATATGAAATATGGATTGTAATTATCTGAAATAAAATATTTTTATTTTATCTTATTTATTTATAAAAACAGTCAGAGTGAGCATCGGCAAACATACTAGATGCTTTGCAGTACCTGGACAACCCCAACGGCATCCTAAACATGTCGTTATAAAGGACGGAAAGGAGGGTCTTTTGGGTATACCTAGCCCAAGGCCGCTACAGTAAAACGATTGACAATATGAACAAGGTCACTTTCACACACCAACACCCTACGCTCTCTTTGCATGTCATAATCACCTTTTCAGAAATATTTATTAATTTTTAATTATTTATATATAATTCTGAACAAAGCAAATAACATTTTTCCTTTAAAATAACGAGTTAAGTCGATTTGTGACAAAGGTGAGGATAAACGGTTACGCCAGTCTTGGTTTAAATTGGTTTATTAAAACTTTACCCTGTATAGTAGTTTCTTAATTTACGAAACCAACGAGATTTCTTTATCTTTTTTTATTTTTTATTACATTATGCCAACAATGTAAAAGAGATTGTAATCTTTGACATTATTGGAATGAATACTCGATTTTTTTTAAATTGAGTATTTGAATGAAATCAGTTAACGGGAAGTGGGTGAAATTCTATACACCGAATATTGTCTTCAAATTTGAATGGGATCACTACTGAGGTACCCCTTTCTTAAAAAAAAGAATAAATCGAAATCATTTCACGAATGTCGGAGCAATCACACACAAAAAAAAATTGAGAACCTACTTTTTTTGAAGGACGGTTAGCAATAAAACACAACGTTAAAGCGTTAACATTTATTACACCTACAAAAAACACACTACTTGATTAAAATGATCTACAATAATAATAATTACAATAAATAACAAAACTGTAAATATAATATTAAATACAATAATATTTCGATATTTTGAGTAATTACTTTTCCAATTTTCAAAAATCCAGATCGCTAATTACTTATACTTATAAATGTGCACAGTGAACGGCACGCATTGTTACGTGCCTATAAGTGCAGTTACACGAGCGGCATCCTAATTACAATTTTGCAATTTGAATGCAGTTGGAAAAGTTTACTTGCAATTCCGATGCTGGATTGGAAGAGACTTATACTCAGCATCGGGTCGGCAGAGGCTGAAAAAGGATCATGAGGCCATTGACTGAGGTGGTGGTCTATGACTAGCAGTAAGACCTATAACACGGCAAGTCGATCTTTGCCCATATTATTTTATTTCAATTGTATGACACGATAACGGATAGAAGCGGGTGTAAATAATTATATGTTGGTTGAGCTGTATTCACGCCAGTTTTACAGGCAGTTGGAAGTTATAATGCATTCACGCCAACGACATTTTAACCGGTCTCCAATAGCATTCTAATTGCAATTTGCAATTTCGATGCAGTTGTGATTACGCAGCTAATTGAGACGGGCCTCTATCTCTGATGTGATTGATGAGTTTGTCGATCGGTTAACATTTTGGTGAGATAATATTCGTTACAATCGGAATCGGTATTTTTTTAAACGGCATTTTAACTTTTCTAAAACTAGTACACCCACGTGCAAGAAAATCAGGTCCAGTCAGATAAGTCACATCAAAAATACCCTAATCCTTCTATTTTGAAACTGCTGAAATTATTTCCTACGACGACATCTCTTAATTTGATTGATCGATATATTTTTTTATTAAAAAAAATGAATGAATGAAAGTGCGCGAAACCGGATTCATCCCCTTTACCACCCTTAGAGGTGGAATATTTTCTTCAAATTTAAATGAGGCCAATAGTGAGGTACCCTCTTTCTAACAAAAAAAAGAATCATCATAAGGGTTGACTAACTAGGCGATGAATCTGGTTTCGGGCAATTTGTGGTAACCAATTTACAATAAAACTTGACAAATAGGTGTAATTTCACGACCTTTTAAGGTCTGTTTCTTTAGTATAGTGAGATTACTAATATCTATGTGTGAATAAGCAAAGACGACACTTCGAGTATTCGAATGCGTATTCCCTGCTCGATTGAAACGCGTTCCTTGTGTACTGCCGCCGTCCAGAGCAGCATATCGACTGTGAACTGGCAACCGGTACTATCTCAATTTTGACAAGTTTACATTGACTTTACAGGTGAAGACAAAAAATTGTTTGCGTCATTTAAATAGCATCTGGTTTATTAAATAAAAATGCGTAATGTATGTGTAATAAAAATATTTAAGAACGTATTTTAGATGCTATATAAATGACGATGAAATGAATATAATTTTTTTCTTCACCAGTAAAGTCAATGTAAAGTTGTCAAAATTGATCGCGCCACCGCCCGCTGTCCGTGTAAGTAAGTGTAACCGCTCTTACTTCCCGATTTTATTGCACTCGAGTGTAAGTTAATATTCGCGAATACTGATTTTTACTACAATGATATTCGTATATTTTTTTGCGAAATTATTCCACTAGTCTGTCATATTTACTAAGAGAGAACCTCAGCTTAAATTCAAAATTTTCCCGTACTAATTAGTTTTGCTTGAGTCGAGCAGCAGCCGCACTGGCTCTATTTCAGAATCTATTTTTTTACAATATACGTCAAGTACCTGTTGAATACAGACGTTTTCTTGTAAAATTTCGAGGTAAGTTTGTGTTTTTTATCTGTCGTGAAAATTTTTAGGAACCGTATTTTCACACCGTATAATAATCAGTAATATCCCCAATTTTATTATATATTGAGGTTTGTATCAGCTGTTAATACAAAGATTGACAACAAAGGATAGTTCCTACGATCTGACAGGACTGGAACCCACGTCTATAATGACAATCTAGGGTAACTGATTTACCAAATGTGCCACAGATCAAGTCAGAAGACATTACGTTATTTCTCTAAGCGTTTGTTACAGATCTCTGTGAGAGATCGACAGAAATGACTCTGGTTTGGCATTAGTAACGCTCATTACAATTCGATTGTTATGAAGATCAATGCAATTGCGTAGGATATAGCGATTTTTAAATCGATTAACTTCAATGCGATTCGTAGGCGAATCTTATTCATAATTTTAACAGTCTCATCTTATTAATGATTTCGTCAAGGACGACAAGGATTTGGACATTATATGACATTATTATTGAAAAGTATAGTTAGATTCAAAATACTGACATCTGTAAAAAAGAAAACATAATAATTACATATTATGACGGTAATTAAATATATAAAAAATGTTGAAGCGGGTTTTATGAGATCGATTCAAAGCAAAAAAAAAGAGACGAAATTTCATTTAATGTTTGAAAACTATTCTGCCAAATCATTATGGTGACAAATACGCTTCGATTGACCAGTTCGTATTCGAAACAATTGACGGGTGACGTCAATTGTTTCACTTCAAATCGACCAGTTTATTTGAGCTTTGCTATAATGGGCGAAAATTTAAAAATTACATATTTAATTACCGGATGAAATGTGATTCCGTTTGTTTTGTAATTAGATGTTTTGCTGTTTTTCCCACACCACTGAATGGAACAGCTCCGGATTGTTAGAGATATTATCTTTATTGCAATAAATACAGAATATTTTTGGAATATACGAAGACGTACACACAGGTCAGTTGTTGGCTCTGTACTATTTCAGCTTTCTAATTTGTGATTTCAGCGCAAACGAGAGTTGATATTTAAAAGTGATATAAGGCTCATTTGCCTGATGAGTTGCCAGGGATGGATGGCCCTTATTTCGTCTCTGGTTATATACTCGACGTAAACCTATTTGGCATACAGACGCAGGTTTAAGTCAAGTCAGATCAAAATAAATCTTCTTTATGTCCAATCTTTGTATTAATAATTACATGTGACATGGGGCAATAACTAGAGAGGACTGCTAATTTCCACACTACAGATCGTAGCTCTGAAAAAGGTCAAAATTCCGCCTTAGATCTACATCGCGCTGATCGCGCTAGGGAAACCCTGAGTCGCGGGAGCCATGGACACACACATAGACAAACACAAATTACACCCAAACTCACGAGAGAAATAAAATCGACCCCTGCTATGTGACTTTAGCATAGAAATGCTAAATTAAATTGTAAAATGATAAAATAAACTGTAGTCGTTCATCTAACCGATATCTAGGATTTTATAACATCACGTGTGCTCATTTCAGTGAATTTGAAACGCTCCCTTGTAAACTTGGCAATTTCGACATACGATACTTTACGAAGGAGGGGTCGAAATGTAGCCCATACAAATATTTCTCTCGGCCCGGGAATCGAACCTGGGACCTCTGCGTGGCGTGGTAGCCGTTCGGCCACGGAGGCAGTTAAATTTAAATATTGATATGATTGATATGCGTGTCAATAGATGGCATAGTGTGTTACAAACTTATTTATAAAGTAACGCTTTGAAATATGGAAAGATGGCGCTAATCTTAAACAAAATAAAATAGGCAGCACAATTCATTAAAATCCATAAGCGCCATCTAGTTGTTTTGTTTGCTATCACTAGAAATTAGAGTAGCTTTGACAAATTGCAGTTATAATGGCGACTTAAATATTTTCACATCATTGACGAGTTTGAAAATTGACCGGTTGACGAAAATGGCGTATTAATAAAAATGACGAGTGGTCCCTTAATTCATACAAATAACCGTTTGATACTTGTCGGTACACCAGATGTCGCGACGATGCAACAAAATACCCGACTAAGCCTTCTTGTATCGCAATTAGCACTCCACCTCAATTATTCGGTCCATGCACATAGATATATTTTCAGTTAAAGATATTTTTAATCACCTACTTACTAATATGAAAGGATGTTATTAGTTAAGCTAGTTGACTAATTTCGTGACGTAATTGCTGGGAAACAGGCCAGTCATGCCTCGGAGTTCACCTGAAACAAGTTGACAAATTAGTACAGACAGTTTGTGTAAGAAGAATTAATGTACGAAAACGCACTAAAATCTTTAAGTCATCTCAGTTGTGTGTCACAATTACAAGGCGTTATTGGAATGGGTAGAGTATTTACCTAGACTTCGACGAACAGACGGAAAGTGGAGACCAGCTCACGACAAGATTTATTTGTCTCGGATTTTTCCAGAATTGGGGATAATTCGACCCCTAAAATATCGTATGTCGAAATTGCCAAGATTACAACGAAGCGTTTTAAAGTTTTGAATTCACTGAAATAATAACAAATAAATAACGCACACACTCAACATATGAGTACGAAATGAGCAGTTCTATTCGGCAAAACTTACACAGAGTATTATAAAATCCTACATGTCGGTTAGATGAACAGCCACAATTTATTTCATCATTTTACAATTTAATTTAGCATTTCTATGCTAAAGTCATGTGTTATTACTCATTTCAGTGAATTCAAAACTTAACGCTTCCCTGTAAACTTAGCAATTTCAACATACGATACTTTAAGTAGGAGGGGTCGATCTGCCGCCCACAAAGTAAAAAAAGTAACAAAATATTTTTTTGAGATATCATAAAAAACCATAACCTAGTTTTACAACACTGAAATTGTTTGATGATATTTCAGCTATGCATCGTTAGGGCAAGTTCCGATAAGTCAAATACTTTAACTGTCTTTAAAAGATAATTTTGTGCTCTATCTTTTGCTATTTAAAACGGATATTTGACCGGAACGGATTTGTCACTTTGCCGCGTTTTAGTTAGTGGACGACAGAAATCACCTAAGTAAGTAAAAAAAGTAAGTTATGTGAGCATAACTGCGTTTCGGTTATGAAGGGTAAGGGTGCTGGTGAAGTTACAGGCACATGAGACTTTTCAACTGTCTCAGGGTATCGGGCGCAGTGGCAGTGCTCCTCAGATCTTTGTATTTTAAAGGTATGAGGATGCAGGCGTACGACTTGTTTAGTGATAGGAACACTAAGTATGACAAAAAATAAACTAAAAGACAGCTTTTAACTAATTCTGTAGCGCCATCTATAGATAGATATATAATAGATGGCGCTAGAAAATAGACAAGTGGTTTTATATGCACCATCTATTGGTCATACTGAGAATTAAAATTTAAAAAACGATCGCATTACCTTGCCACCAGGCAGGGTCCTGGCTCCTGTCAGTGACAGCAATGATGTCATCCTTCTCGAAACTTAATTCATCAGCGTTTTGAGCAGTGTAAGGGTACAACGCTATCACCTGTGTGCAGAACAAATGAATATAATTTTTACTACGTTATGTTAAACACTCGAAAGCCTATGATTAACGTTCATATTACATCATAGCAATAGTCGATACTATCTCAGGTTGAATTCAAATTATTCTCGTATAAATACGGTTCATTTTGCCTAGGTCGAGTTGAATAATTGGTATATGTAAAGTAAGTAAGTTTGTGCTATTTTTCTATCGTGAAAATTTATAGGAATCGTCTTTTGACGCCGTCAGTGTTTATCCTCAACTATGACATCGAGGGTAATGAAGCAGCGGATGAACTGGCAAAGACTGGTGCTAGGGAGGCCTTCATTGGTCCTCAGCACACAGCCTGGCTGTGATGTGTAGCTGCAGACTAAGGGTCTTGAGCATTCAAAAGCCCTATAGCTACCTACAGTGCCAAGCATTGTAGAGAAGCTCTGTCACTGGACATAAACGACATCAGAAAACTTACTAGAGCCTTAACAGGGCATTGTAGCTTGAACAAGCACATGTCAAATATTGAGCAGAGAGGAAACAGAGAATGTAGATTCTGCCACGAGGCGGATGAAACTCCTGTGCATCTCCTCACCCATTGCTGCGTTCTAATGGGCCTAAGAAGTTCCACACTGGGTAGGCACAAGCCACACCCAGAGGACAAAAACTGTTAGAGTCAGGAAAGTACTTCAGTTCCTGAATGCTGTTGGTCTTGACTCTGAACTGTAATTAGTGGTGATCACAATAGATCAGTTAAGGATGAAATAGTCAAGCCACCCTAATAATCGTCAATCGTCACCCTAATCGTCAAGCCGGGACGGGGAAGTCAAGGTCTACAAAAAATAATAAGCATTGATAAAAAATGTTCTTTACTCCTGCCATCATTGGCTGCTAGCAACGTTCTGTTAATAAACGTTCTACATCGAATTTGGCTATAGTATGACTATATCTAGACGAGGGAAGAACTCTATTTAGAGCTTCTTGTCGTTCAGACATTGCGTAATACAATAGATAAGGGCCAGTACCTTGTCAATGACGGTTTCCGCTGGTAGAGTGTCCATCTTGGACAGTACAGGTGTTGTTCGGCCAGAGGTGCGTCCAGACGACTGCAGCACCTGCAACGGAGTCGTGACAATTACTAAAAAATAATTTGTTACGATTATTATTACAAAGAAAAAACACATAGGAAATTTTTCTTCGACCCATTGAGACTTGAAACCATGACCATACTACACCGTGTTGCTCTATACCAAGAGCTACAGGTTAAGTTATCAAGTTGACGAAATTCTACTATGTGTTTTTGTTACAGATCTTTCTACTACCAAATGACGGTACGAACTAGTAGTGCGCCTGATGTTAAGCGACACGCCAGTCGATAACAGTAACAGTGCCACTCAGAGCTTTAAAACTGTAAGGGTGCTGGTGAAATTACAGGCACATGGGACTTGTCAACTTATGTCTCAGGGTGACGGGCGCAGTGGCAGTGCCCCTCAGATCTTTGCGACTTAAAATTGTGAGCGGCATTGCTACTGAACAGGCGTGTCGCTTACCACCAGACGCGCGGCTTGTTCATACTGCCACATTGTATCATAAAACATTAACTTCGGTGACAAGCAAGAAAAGTTTACCAGGATATAAAATATACCAGCACGATAAAGCTATTATATCCACAATTAGCTGTCAAATTCGAGTGATAAAACCGCCATTTTGAAATGTTGTCACAATAGCTAACTTTCACTGTTTTACTGGAAGTGCGATATAATGTACGTACCTTTACGTAGCTGGCAGGGAACCATCCGACCTGTCTGTTGCGACCCTTAGCCTGGAGTTCACCTTCCCACCATCCGCTGTCTGATTTCTTACGTATCACTAGAAGTTGACCTTTTTGTAGCGTAAGTTGCTCAGCACTGAAATTACGAACATATTTTTGAACGCTTATACTAACTACTTAAACTGGCAGAATTAAAAAAAATGATGGCGGCACCACTGGAAACATTTGAGTAACTTCCCGTACAGAACATAATCAGTCAATCAGATTTGCGGTGGATGAAGACATGCAGTGGCGGATGAGGACATGTAAAGGAGTCTATAATAATCTTAAGTTATTATTTTTAGCTGCAAGAGCAACCATAAGTAAAAACCTTCTGAGTTTCTTTAACCGAAGCGGTGTATGAAGACATGTAACGGTGTATAAGGACATGTAAATATATTACCTAGAGGCGGTGTAACTAGCGATAGCCTGTGCAATTTCGTTCTTCCTGCGACCTGTGACGGAGTCGCGACCGGAATCGCGACGTGTGACGGACGCTGGTCGCGTGTTTGCCGCCGACGATGATGCGTTCTCCGTTATTGCCGCTACTTCTGATGACACTGGGGTAGAAGATTTTTGTTCCTGGAAAGAGGAGAATCTAAGTTTTAACAGCGGAGGTTAATAAACATCTGTTGAACATTTGAGTGTCAGCTTATATAGATTGTAATATTACCACATACCGATTATAATGTGTTTTGTACCGATTACAACGTGTTTTATATCAATTATAACGTGTTTTGCACCGATCATAACGTGTTTTATACCGATCATAACGCGTTTTATACCGATTATAACGTATTATATCGATTATAATGTATTTTATACCGATTGTAACGGGTTTTGTACCGATTATACCGCATTTGTCAAATATTAAGTATTATACACTGACTATTACATATTTTGAACAGATTATACATTTTATGGTATTAAACGTGTTACCTGTGCAGGTGGCGATGTTGCTTGTATCGGTGTGGGTTGGATCACTGGCGAAGGTTCAGGTGTGGGTTCAACGGCTTCTGGTATTGTTGCTATGGGCTCGTTGGCGGTTGTTGAGGTGATTGTATCTTTGGTAACATAGTTCGAGGGGAAGATTCCCGTCCTGGAAACATTATACATGAATGTTACTGCTCTTTACTATTTATATTTTTGTTAACGCGGTTCAAAGTTTGTTCAACTTATCGGAACTTACCCTAACGATTCATAGCTAAAATAACAGTAAACAATTTCTATGTTACCGGGTTATGGTTCTTTTATATCTCAAAAAAATATTTTGTCACTTAGCTCCATTTTAGTTAGCGGATGGCATATAAAGTTGTTCACACATAGAACAAGACGTATAACTGTCTTTTACAATTTTTTTTACGTTACGACGACAGATTGTCGTGACAATGAAAAGAGCTAGAACGACAGTTGCCCGACGAAAATGTGACGAGTCTGTCGTGCGAACGACAAGGTTGCTGCCGTGAACCGATAAATTGTCGTCACGGTCTAGTGGGAACAGCTAGACACGACAGTTGCTCAATGATAAAATAAACGCCCACGACATAATCACGACAGATATGGGAACAGGCTAGACGCGACAGTCGTCCAACGACAAATAAAACGTTACTACGTAATGGAAACGCGGCCTAAATCTATTTTCATCGAAAAGTCGTATTACAAAATTGCAGAGTACGTGTTAGAAAAATATGTATCTAACGACGACATGGCTCTGGATTCCACAGAAATTTGATTCAAAGTGTTCCATAGCATTTAAGTTTATTTGAAAAGAGCAATCCCTAGAGTTTCTTGCTCGTTCTTCTTGGGGAAGTCAGCACAGCAAATGAAGTGTAGCTTGAAAAATGACGTTATCGTGTGTAAATTTATTCCAACTATTGTAAGCGACTTCAAAAAAAGGAGGAGGTTCTCAATTCGACTGTATGTTTTTTTTGTATGTATGTGTTACACGATAACTCCGCCATTTGTGAACAGATTTTGATGATTCTTTTTTGTTGGAAAAAGGGTACCTCAATAGTGGTGCCCTTTAATTTTGAAAAAAATCATCCACCTCTAAGGGTGGCTGTTCACGCATGAAGATTCATTTTTATAAATAGCGCCTAAATTTTTTATAAGGAGCCATTGACTTACAATTATATGGACGTCGGGTCCGCGCTAAAAAGTGTCCGCACTTGTAAGGCGCTAAAATAGTATACAGAGCGCGACACTCCGCTTTAGTCTTCATTTGTTCTACTGACAGCGCGATACTGCGATGACATAACAATTTAAATTTCGAATAGGTTGACTTGGGACATTTTTTTCGTGGTTTTTGTATTAGACCCGTCGTCCATTTATTTGTAAGTCAATGTAAGGAGCAATTATTTTAATGGTCGATTTTGCTATTCTCTAATTCAAGGCGTTTTGGTCTCTCAATATACTTTGAGTATTGAGAATCGATTTTTATTATCTCATTTATTGTGTCAAGTTCCGTATAGTGGCGAACTAGGGGATGAATCCGGGTTTGCGCACTTTTCGGTAACCGATTTCAATAATACTTGTTAATTATATGTAATTCCACGTATTTTTGCGGTCGGTTTTTTTAGTGCTCTGTACTGAGATTATGTAACTAAATCTTACCTGATACCAATCCGTCCACACCACCAATCCCCATCGCGTCTGATGACCTCGATTCTCTCTCCGGCGTCGAAGATCAAGTCTCCTGGCTCAGCGGATTGATATGGATACGCTGCTATGTAGAAGTCACCACCTTCTGTTAAAATAACAGAAAATTGGCGATGAGAAATGTACATGCGGGTTGGAAGACAGGCGGTGATAGACTAGTCCGGAAAGCGCGCGTCTCGTGTAGAAGGTTCTGGCCAGAAGTAGTGTACCAATGCGCACGCTCTTATTCTTCAGGTCCGGTCAGGTCAGATCAGGAGTCGATCACGGCATCAAACAGTTCCATAAAGGTTATTTTTAGTAGTTCTATTTAACATAATAGTTATAGTTATTATACGTAGTATTTTGCATAATTTTTGCCGTCGAACGCGGGGATATCGATATCGGGCTACCGAATGCCGTTTCCACTGCTGGTTGCTTCCGCCGTTGTTCGAAACTTATCCTCTGAGGTTTGCGAGTATAAACGTTTTCGGAGCTTAGATATGACGTTAACACACCTGTTTTCAAATTCATCATGCGCCAAGTTTTCTTCCGGTATTTGATCGGTTAATAAGCTAAGTTCCAATGTAATTCGGTGTATTTTTGAATGTTTGATTCAGTTTGTTGCAGCCTAATTTTGATGATTTCTTCATGTAATGATTCTGATGCTTAAGAAAGGCGCTTGCGCAGGCCCTTATTGTTCAGGTCGTCCCATTGCTTAATAGTACATTGTGTATTAAGGGCGGTTAAATAAGAAATTACTAACGAGAATTTGTTAGAAGCCCGAAGCCGAACCCTGAGGGCTATAATGACTTGATCATTGTAATTATTGCCGCCCGTGCTACATACAATGTATTTCATCATCCAATCCGAGAAAATATGAATATCGCAATACACCTAGAGATAAAATGATCCTTGGGACATTTCGGACCGACATTTCTCGGATTCGGAAATGATACGAAAATTATGCCATTAAAAAATTACTCACCAACTGCAGGCATAGCCCCTCCGAGATCTGCAGTAATCTCAGCTTCAGGTACTTCTGCTATACCTGGAAAACATAACGAAGCGATCAATAATCAAACTGCCTCCACACAGGCGAGAGTTTACGCCTTAGTCCGCCACCCTCGTCTGTCCAATCCGGGACTTCACACGTTTTTATAATAATAAATCCACGGCCTCTGACTAAGAGATGGAAGTTCCATAAGCCTCGATTACTATCGGAACCGATGTTGCCAAAACATATACAAACAAAATGATAAACACTATGAAATCTTGATAACGATTGGTCATAGTTTTTAATTTAAAAATATGTAATAAATTATAGACTGTTTAATATAATGTAAATTTTACCCAGTCGCTATATCGTAAAAAGTTCAATCAAGTTACGACGTTTCGATATTATATTGATATTTCAATCAATGTGCTGCCATCTAACGGTTCATTGCTGAACGACGACGAATTGGACTTACCATTTGGTTCTCCAAACAAGAAGCTACCATATTGTATGAGTATAGGCTTTACTTTCGTTTCTTGTAACAAAAAAATATTTCGATAAACTGAAAATTTAAAATTGATTATTCGTTATACAAAATAAAACTTTCCGATTATTGCTGACCTTGTCCCAATCCACCTCAAATGGACCAGGACCTGCCTTCGGTATCCTTCTTTTCTTCAATAAAACTCCTTCGAAACTTAAATCTTCTGGTTTATTGATTCAGGAAGTGGACTGTACATTACCATAAAGCTTATTTATATGTCGATCTGACTTATCGAATATCGAACGCGACTGAATATGATTACGAATGAGACAATGACAATAATTTTCACTTATACAATGTGTTGATTTGAATTCTCGCCAGAGGTCACTGTGCTCTTCAGTTTTGTTGTCATTATTGGAACGAAATTACATAAAAAACCTTTCATGTCTACTGTTGATTCAAGAGTCCACTGACCTTCAAGCTGAGTCTTGGTTTCCATTGGTTCGACGACTTCGGCGGCATACGCTGAGGCCGCGTTAATGTCTTCCACGTAGGACTCGGGGAACCATCCAGATTCACCTGCGTTGAAAAGCGAAAATTGCAATCCAAACCACAGGTTACTCAATAGTTACTACACAGAAAAAAAGGATTTCTACTAATAAGAAAGAGCAATTTCTCAAAATATTTGCTAATTCTGAAAAAATATTTGTTAAAAGTAATAAAATATTGTCACTACAAAAATGCTGCTTATCTTTTTCTAATATAATTTTACTCTTAACTTTATTCTAACTTTGAGACAAATACGTTCACTTCAAGATTTTATTTCATTTCTAATCAATTAATTGGACATTACTTACATCAAGAAATTTTTACCTCTTACATCAAATTTAAATAATCTTAAATGAATTCAAAATTTCTTGGGTGTATTTGAAGAAAATATATTCTTAAACAAAAGAAGAAGTAGTTTTCTATTCAGATTAATATTCTAAATTCTAGAGTCTAGAATATATTCTTAAAGCAACATTTCGTTGCGTTTTCATAGTCAATGATGTCGTGACATGTCGCCGAAGCCGCACACAGTAACGTTTGCTTTTACTTGTGCTTGTAATCATAAAAATCATAAACAGTCATTTGTCCAAAGAAACAATACGTAGTATCTCTAGTTTGTTAGGGTGTTATTTATAGTCATATTTTAAGAAATTTGGTTACATTATGAAATCAAACTACATTTGTAACAAGCACAACTTTAACATGCAATTAGTTCCGTCACGCCACTGCTAGATGGCATTAGTTGTACTCTGAAACGCGCTATCGTTTTGTTAACTTCAATAGTATAAAGTCATCTCATATATTTTGAATTGTTAGTGCTTTCAGCCGCTGTAGCATTTATTTATACGGCACTGAATGGTCCTGAAGTATGGTTGGGCACTGAATAAATTTGCCCTTTTTGAAATTAGAAAACATAAATCTTCAGTCAAATAATTAAGTACCTCTCAATTTTTCATTCATTTTTTTTTTCAAATCAAAATCGGACATTTCTAATAACAAACAAATATTTTGTTGAATCTAGAGTGGCTTTGTGACTTGAAGTAAATTAATTTGCTCTTGGATTAAATATTTCTGTCTTATAACAAAAATACACTTTTGAGACATTTTTTTACTATTATCAAGTAATTATTCTCTAGCGTCTATAGGGAGAGGATTGTTTTGTTGGATTTAATAAATTTGTCTTCATATAAAGAATTTTGTCTTTTTCTAAGTAATCTGTTTTTACCGTGTATGCGTAACAGATACATCACTCTCATACAAAATCGAAAATACCTACAAAAAGTAACTTAAACACGCGCTTAGAGGTGAAAATTATGTTGCCCGCCGTGTGCAGTCATGCGGAACCGAATGCTGGGGTTGTACAAGGATTGTAATGCAAATGAAAGACTTGTATGAGCGCTTGTACTGCCGGCGATACACTCAGCGGTAGGCGCTTATCGGGTAACCTCGAGCAAGTGACGGAGCCCTGTCCAAACTAATATTATAAATGCGAAAGTAACTCTGTTTGTTACACTTTCGCGTCTAAAAACTGCCCTAATAGGTCAATGACCTACTGATGAATTTTGGTATAGAAAGAGATGGGACTACTGAAAGGGCTACTTTTTGTCACAAAAATAAATCTAAAAGAGGATGAAATAGGGGATGAAAGTTTGTATAGAGAACCAATTATTTCTCAAGTTTTTGTCATCAAGTGAAGGGATGAACAAGTCGTTCGCCTGATGGTAAGCTACACGCCTGTCCATAACAGTTGCAAAGCCACTCGGAACTTTAAATTGCAAAGATCTGACGGGCGCTGCCACTGCGCCCGTCACCCTGAGACATAAATTGACAAGTCCCATGTGCCTGTACTTTCACCAGCACCCTTACCCTTCAAAACCGGAACAGAGTAATGCTGACATTACTGTTTGGCGGCAGAAATAGGTAAGGTGGCAGTACTTCCACGGACGAACACTATCAAAAGAGCTCTACTGTTACTAAGTAGTACAGTAGGCTACTCGAAGAATTTATTCTATGCAAACTAAGTCGCAGGGACCACTTAGTATTACATTTTTTATAACATACCTCTGGCTGAACCCCATCTCCATCCCGGCTCGGCGTCTCCACGCGGCGCCGTCGCCTCGCTTACCTGCACACATTCTTACGTTATCAATATAATCATTCTCACGTTTCACTGCTGAGCACACACCTCTACTGACAGGCTGGTACGCACATGCATAGGTACACATATATTCATGTGCGTATAGACATGCGTATACACTCCCGGACACAATTCGAGCCACCTCGCATTTTCAGTGTTAAATGCTCTCCGCTTAAACAATGTTTCATTGATCAAAAACTATAAAGCAATATTGAAATTAGTTTACTAAATGTCTTTTCCATAAATCCATGTTGGAAATTTCGATTTGCAAAACCGGGGGAAAACTTAAGTCTTAGACGATAACACTACTTTTGTATTCTAGGACATTAAGACAAAAATCGTGTCTATCAAGTGATGGGAAGAACAAGTCGTGTTCCTGACGGTAAGCTACACGCCTGTCCATAACAGTTGCAGTGCAACTCAAAGCTTTAAATCGCAAAGATCTGAGGGGCGCTGCCACTGCGCCCGTCACCCTGAGACACAAGTTGACAATTCCAATGCGCCTGCAATTTCACCAGCACCCTTACCCTTCTAAATCGGAACGCAGTAATGCTAACGTTACTGTTTGGTGGCAGAAATAGGTAAGGTGAAAGTACTTCCCTGGACGAACTCCTTGTAAAAGAAACTCTACTGCAACCGCATCGGGATCATATTATCTGAACTAAGTATTATTATTTTCTGCATCTGTTGTAGACTGTTTCTAAGTCTTGAATTTTTAATTGGAATAGGCGTTTATCATTATTATGGCCATTAAAGAAATGTGAAGTGTGAACTGACCAGATCTCCAGGTTGCAAGCTGAGCTCGTCAACAGTCCTAGCTGTGAACTCGTACACGCAGCGCCATTTGGGACCGCCAGTGGCCACTGCTTGCTCCGTTGTTGGGGCCGCAGCTGGGGCCACTTCTTCGGTCGCTAGTGACAAGATATACAATATATAAGTCGGAGCTAATCATTACTTTCAACGTAATATAATAGCATTCTATTTTGGCCGAAGAGTGTCCATGTATCGACGTTACCGAGGCCGGTTACTGGATACCCAAGTTGCTTTACACCTCGCAGTCCATACGTGTAAATAAATAAATAGTGTAATATAATAAGTCACCTAGTTACATACCTTTACAGCGTCCAGCCCCGGCTAGAGATTTAAATTTTTATTGAATTGATATTCAATTATTTTTATGTAAAATTACTCCACTACTTTATTATAATTATCAATACAAAGATCGACGAAATGACGAAATATCATAGACTTCTCATAAATGGCGCTACGGCTAAAAAGTCGTTGAAAAACCAAATACAAAGATAGAAAAATTTAAGCGCATAGAAAAATTTGTGAGGTCCGCTAGTTCGTTCCGCGGCTTAGTTGGCATAGCATGTGACACGGTATGCTAGAAGACGTCAGTTCAAATCCCGGCGGATCGAAGGATTTTTTTCTGAGTGTTCGATCTTTATATTAATAATTATACAAGTATATTGTTATGTTATGTTCAGTGAACGTTCGACCGTGACGTAACAAAGAAAATCCAACCGGCAAGTCAAATCGAGAAGAACATCGATGACGTAAATAAATAACAGTGTAGGACCCAAGACAATGCCTTGTGACACGTCGAATTTAACTGGAGTTATCTATACAATTTGTTAAATGTGTGTCAAAAGGAGAAACTTCAGATGCAGGAGTGAAATGCGTAGCCACGCTGTATTTAGAAAACTTAATGTTATCCCAATTTTATGTGATTAAAGTTAGACTATGACGTAACAAAGTAAATCGAACGCACAAGTCAAATCCACAAGAAATTCAATGATGTAAATAAAAAACAGTGTAGGACCCCTGCCTTGTGAAACGCCGAATTCATTTGGAGTTCTCCATTGAATTTGTCATATGTGTGTTTGATAAAGAACATTTTAAAATTTTATCATTATAGCTAACATGGCGTCCACCGTGATGTCACATTTTTATGTCAGCGCGAGCGCCACGTTCAATGACTGCAAAAGATTGACACAGCCAAACATGGCTGCAAGGTCACAGCTGATTTGAAAACATTTGCACAGTAATTTTATCAACGTGAAAATTGAGCACGACAATCGAGATGAAAAGAAATAATAAAAATAAACGAAATGATATATACAAAATTATTGGGAAAAGGTGAGGAGAACATTTTTAATACAGTTCAATCTATGAGAGTAATTAGAAATACGTAAATAATAACTAATATAATATAAAATATATAAAAACTGAAACAACAAGTTTTCGCGGCGATGATTAAACGACAAAGACAGCTATATACGTAATTCTATATCGTTGTCCTTGTCCTTGAAAATGTAAAACAATAGTTCATTACCAAATAAGCAAACTTAGCTTTATCAATTGAAATAAATATTATCACGGGGAGGTTTGTCACACAAATACTGCCAAGCTACGGCCATAGGGAGAAAATGAAATAAACAATTACCGGTGGTGGCGGCGGCGTCGTTCCAGGCCTCATCTGCGGCGCCGCTGTCGCCCCAGGCGTCGTCCGACGTGCCCCAGTCAGCTTCTGCGAAGACAACCCAACGATCAATGCATGTTATAAATAAATTTCAAACCTCTTATCACGACGTTCCTATCATAATACAGGATAACTTTTTCATCATCATTCAAATCATAGGGTCGTATTCCAGAACTGTACTCAATGCTCAAGTCAGGATTTGAGCAGACTTGAGTATGATTTCAAGCACCGGAAATACGACCCTAATGGCAAGAACTTGAGTATGATTTCTAGTGCTTTGAATCATACTCTAGTCCTGACTTGAGCATTGAGTAGAGTTCTAGAATACGACCCTTAGTATTCTTATTCCCGTGCCGAATCGGTTCTGCAGGGATACCGGCATTATTACAGATTTTTTTTTTACAAACGATATTAAAACCATTTGAAGAATGTATATCGTATATATCGAGTATATAACCAGAAATAGAGACGAAATGTCATTTAATTTGTTTGATAACTATTCTGCCATATCGTTACTGTGACAACTGCGCTCCGATTGGCTAGCCCGAATTCGAAACAATTGACGGGTGTCGTCAACAGTTTCACTTCAAATCGACCAGTTAACTGGAGCTTTGCTATAATAGACGAAAATTGCAAAATTACATATTTAATATTTAACTATCGATGAAACGTGATTCCGTTTGTTTTGTAATTAGATGGTTGCTGTTTTTCCCACACCACCGAATAGAACAGCACGGCATTGTTAGAGACATTATTTATAAATACAGAATATTTTTTGGAATATACGGAGATGTACACACAGGTCAGTAGTTGGCCTGTCTATATTTCAGTGCAAACGAGAGTTGATATTTATAAGAGCTTTATCGCTAATGTGTTACCAGGAATATATGGCCCTTATTTCGTCTCTATTTCTGGTTATATACTCGATGATCGTATACTACACGTGTTGTACTTAGTTCAGTGGATGTAAAAAAAAATTTCGAAGCAAGCGAACAAGGAGAAAATTTGGATCCCAGCTGAGGTAATATCGAGTCTTAAAGAGAAATATCTTAAAATAAAAATTATGTGCAAAGTTAGACATTTTATATAATAGAATACTTTATTTCATAAAATTACAATTCGAAATATAATGTCAAGGGATAACATGATCGTCATTAATTTAAACAATAACTTTATTGTTAATAGAAAATAAAGTAATTAAAAGAAAAATACGAACTACAAAAATACAAATAAAAATTCAAAAAGTCCAAAATTAAAATATAATTACAATTTCTTTAAAAGAAATTCCTCTACACTGTAGAATTCATTATCCAATAAAAGGTCTTTCAGTCGGGAACAAAACACTTCGTCATTTGTAACACTTTTTAGACTTGTGTTATTCTTAAAAAACTCGTTTTAGACTTTAATTTGGCCAGTTTTTAAAGATATTATATGATCGGGTAAATTACATCCAATCGTGAAATAAATTAGCACATTCTTTAGACAATATTCTGAGGTGTATCGTGAATTTTTCATATAAACCATTTGGACGTAGTTAAGCGAAAAGGATCCAATGCACATCCAGTCACTTTCGGGATATGACAGATTGAAGTTTAAAAGTGTTTCTCACTCTTGTTTTATTTTAAAAACTTATAATGTCATGTAACTCCAGAGATATTTATTTTTATATGTTGGATTTTTTGCTGATCTAAGAGCGTAGACTTTACGAACCGTTTAGTAGATGTAACTCTTTATTTGATAATTTCGTGGATTGGATACTTTTGGCTTAACTACGTCCATTTGATCCAGCATTATTAAAAACATTTTTATAAAAAATCTGACCTCAAAAGTTCGTGAAATTACATCTATTTTCCAAGTTTTATTGCAATCGGTTAACGGAAAGTGCGAGAATCCGGATTCATCCCCTAGTTTGCCATCCTTAGAGGTGAAATAAATAAAATGTAACATACAAAGAAAAAAATATATTTGTTAATTTTAATTTTCAATTTGTATATTTGTGACGTCCACTGTGTTCCGTGCCGCACGGATCATCGCCGAATCCACTGAAAATCAGCGTCGTACCACACTTTCAGTGAGACGGCAATAGCTGAGTGGATGACGGATTCAGTGGCTGCACAGCACACATCCTGTCTCCCTTATCTTTCTTTCTTTCTTCTATTTTTTATGTTTTTGTTTTGTTTGTAAATTGTATGTGTGCTGTGCTTTACATTGAATAAATAATTTCTATTTCTATTTCTATAAATATTTCCTTTATTGCCCGTGGAACTACTAGCAGAATTACTAGTAGTTACACGGGCAATAATAATCTCCCGTGTAACTACCGACAGGTCTAGTAGCATCACGGATAATTGTTTTTGTCCGTGGTAATACCACTACATAAGAAGCGTTTTATAAATTTGATAAAACAGACGAACCAAAAGCCAAACAATACAATAATAACCTAACTTCGGTACAGAGTACTAAAAAACCGACCTCAAAAGTCATTCATCCCCTAGTTTACCACCCTTAGAGGTGGAATATTTTCGTCAAATTGAAATGGGACCTCTTCTGAGGTACCCTCTTTCCAACAAAAAAAGGAATCATCAAAATCGGGTCGCAAATGCCGGCCAAATTGCGTAACGTACATAGAAAAAAAAAATACAGTTGAATTAAAGACCTCCTCTTCTTTTTGAAGTCTGTTAAATACAGTTTTTCCCGCTTCTACTCTGGTGACTTCAAAGGCAAAGAATCATTTATTCCATAAGTAAAAATAAATTTACACTTGAAAACGTCATTTTTTAAGCTACTGCTCGTTCACTACGCTGACCTCCCTGAGAAGAACGAGCAAGAAACTCTAGGGATTGCTCTTTTCAAATAAACTAAAATGCTTTGGAATACACATTGAATCAAATTTGTGTGGAATCTAAGAGCTATGTCGCCTTTCCATACATCTTTATTTAACACGTTTGCTTTGAGGTAATGCCGCTAATATCAATAGAATCTTTGTTCTGCAGAAACGTGCAGTTAGGGCAATTTACAATCTGGGCCCCAAAGTATCTTTGAGAGATAAGTTTAAGGAAATTAACATTCTTACACTAGCCTCACAGTACATTTATGAGAATGTAATTTATGTTAAAAGGAATAGTAATTTATTTATGAAAAATAGTGACAGACATAACATTAATACGAGGAATAGAAATAAACTAGCTTTTCTTGATAGTCGTCTTCACAAAGTCAAAAAATCATTTAAGGGGCAATGTATACGCTTCTATAACAAGATTCCGGTTGATATACAAAATTTGCCTTCCACGAGGTTTGAAACTATAGAGAAACAAAAACTTTATACTAATGGTTATTATACAACTTCTGCGTACTTGGATGATAAAAATTCGTGGTAGTAACCCGTTTAGCTCATGGAGGTAGCCTCGATCACTGACGTTTCAAATAAAAAAATAAAAAAATATTGTAAATGTTATTTACAAAGAGCAACCCCTAGAGTTTCTTGCTCATTCTTCTCAGGGGAATCTGCCTTACGAATGAGCGGTAGAGTTTAACCATTGTGACGATTTCAAGTGTAATAATGCTTACCTATGAAATAAAGATTATTTTGAATTTGACGTACTCTTCAATTTTGTAATATGACTTTTCAATTAAAATACTTTTAATGTAAGTTTGAAATTTAGGAAATGTTAATCTTAATATAAACTCCGGAATCTTATTGTAAAAACGTATAGATATTCCCCATAAAAGAATCATTTATCTTAGTTAAACGAAATCGTGGTACCGTGACTTTGGACTTAGTTCTAAGGTTAATATTATGGATACCTTCTTCCTTAATGAAATTAAGTATAATGAAGAACAAGGGTTACCTGGAGCACCCCAAGCAGCAGCAGCAGGTGCTGTGCTCTTCTTCTCCAAGTACTCCTGCCGTCTCTGTTCGTAAAGCTGCCAGACTTTTTGACACTTCTCGCCCAGTTCGGACACTTTAGCTGTCAATTCTGACAGTTGAGACTTGTTGCTGTCGAGATCGGCTTGTTTGTTTTCGACTATAGCTCGTGCTGCTTCCACCTGTGCATTGAATTTGTTTTATTAATTGAGTTGTTCTTAAGTTTTTCAGATAGTTATACCCAAGGCACCCAGACCTAAATCAATTTAGAAAATTATTTTGTGAAACTATCCTACCATACTCCGTTCAACCATTTATTTAACTTTTGACATATATGCATGCCTCCGAAGTTCCGTAATTATTGACATACAACCATAGGCGAAAAATGCAATACTTCTTAGACTCCTTAGCTCCGATATTTTATTAACAGACTATGTAATGAAAATAGTTTACCTATCAGTGGTCCAAAATGACATTTTCCAGAAATAACGTTAGCTCGAATTTTCATAACCTCGAAAGTAATTTTGAGAGGATTTTTTTTTTCCTTTAAACCTAACTTAACCGAACCTAATCGTGTCTTTGCGATAAACATCCAACATATCTTGAAAGAACAACGGTTTCGTTATAATTCGGTTTTCGGTGTAATGAAAATTCGAACAAACGTTATTTCGGAAAAAAAATCGAGTGTTTGATAGTTTACCAAAGAAGATTAATCAAGTTGATAAATTTTGGTAACTGTCTAATCAATTATAATGATATGAAATAAATTATAAATAATTCTAAAAAATTATAATGAACCGTCGGATTCTTCTCCATATGAACGGGGATCATCACTTGAATTCTCATTAACACTAATTATGAATTCTTGAGTACACAAATTGTCAAACGCAACAACAACAGGACGGCCTCTGGTCGAGTGACTTGCACATCGGTTTTCATGGTGTCGCCATCTCTGAGGTCCCTGGTTCGATCCTCGAACGAGTGAGTGTAGAAAACTTTTCTATATTGTCTCTGGCCTGGGTGTTTGTAGTACCGTCGATGTTTCCGATTTCCATACCACAAGTGCTTTAGCTACTTACTTTGGGATAAAAAAAATCACGATTCACAATCAGACAATATCATCTTTTTGAAACCAGCTAACATTTACGATTAAAATTTCTTCATAATTAAACTTAATGGCACGCCTTTGACGCGCGTTACTGAATTTAAGTACCTAGGACACTGGTTCATTGCAATACTGTATGACTTGGAGCTGATACGTAGGTTTGCAAAGTGTACCAATGGACAATCATTTTACACTTGCTGCCGCCAATGTAGTGCGTCCCCAGACTCGACGGCCCAGTTGTACAAACATGGGAGGCTCGTCATGCGATAGCCAGAAGGGGTTAATGTTATAGAAAATTTGTATTTACTAACTTACTCGTAAGGTTACAATTATTACTAACATGATATGGAGATAATCCGAAATAAACTATTATTATTATAAATAAAATCGAATGTCATAAAAAATAGAATCGGAAACGCATTAGGACATCAGTAATTGATTACAATTCGAGCTGTCAAGGAATTAGAAATATACGCCAAAAGTTACTTCAAAATGGCTACAGTCGAAATCGTATGAGGAAACCGAAGATCTATTAGAACACTTGCTTTAAAAATACTACTTTCCTAATCTATGGCAACAGGTTAACACACACACTCGCGCACACGCACACGCACCGACACCCACACCTACCCACACACACACCCACTCACACAAACACACACACACGAAAACACACACACAAATAAACACACACACACAAACACACCCACACACACACACACCCATCTACCCACACCCACAAACACCCATACCAACACACTCACACACACACACACACACACACACACACACAAATCACACACCCACACCAACACACACACACACACACCCACACACACGCACACACACACACACACACACACACACACACACACACACACACGCACACACGCACACAACCACCCCCCTCACACACAAACACTCCCGCTCTCGCAGCTCGCAAACACGCACGCACGCACGCACGCACGCACGCACGCACGCACGCACGCACGCACGCACGCACGCACGCACTTTTTCATATACAAATGCAAATACATAAGTTTTTAGATTCAAATTAAATTTAAAATTAGAAGTTAAGACATTTGAAAATTGTTAAAAAAAATTGTTTGTGTTCACGATGTTTGGAAATGTAACAATTCAACACTAAATTAAGTATAAGTTAAAAATGGTAAATGTGCATTTATAGCTATGGAAGAGCGGTGTCTCCTGACACAGGCTTGATAAGCTTAATAGGAGGTACCATCCACTGTTAATGTAAAGTTAATTGTATTATTGAAATAAACATTTTATTTATTTATTTATTATTTATGTCAAGAGTGAAATATGTGGTTGGACGGAGTATAGTTTGTTGTGATTATTAATACAAAAATCAAACACAAAGAAAAAATCCCTCCGATCTGGGCGGATAGAACCAGCAAC